GTTATTGGTGGTTAATTGTATTTTCTGTGGTTGAGTTTAGGCTGTCTACTAGGGTGAGGTGTTTTTTGGTTTGTTTTCGTTTTGTTTTGAAGAGAGGGTGTGAAAGTGGGGAGGGACAGTGGGAAAAGGAGAGGGAGGATCCCAAGCAGGCTCCTCGCTCAGCACAGAGCCCAAATGGTGCTCTATTTCACAACCCTGAGATCATGACCTGAGCTGAAATCAAGAGTCGGATGCTTAATTGAGCCACCCAGGTGCCTCATAGTGGGGTAAGATTTTTAAACTTACAAATGACCCTATCAGAAAGATCAGAATGATGGCAGAGTGGAGGAGGAGGAGAGAGACTCTGAAGCCCCATTGATTTACTTCTGATGCAGATGGTGTTAGAGTTAGATGTGTGTGGTGAACTTTGTCCATAAGAGGAGGCCATTACATCTGTCCCGCTTGCTGTACAGTGATTATGATGATAGAATTGGAAGGAGAGGAGGCTATTATTTATAATATTGAAAATATATAAATAACCTGTATCTTTTTTTAAGATTTTATTTATTTATTCATGAGAGAGAGACACACACACACAGAGAAAGAGGCAGAGACACAGGCAGAGGGAGAAGCAGGCTCCATGCAGAGAGCCCGATGCGGAAATCGATCCTGGGACTCCAGGGTCACGCCCTGGGCCAAAGGCAGTGCTAAATCGCTGAGCCACCCGGGCTGCCCAGTAACCTGTATCTTGATAGTCAAGAGGCAAACAAATTATAATACTGTGTCTTAGTGGGTACTATATGCAGCCTTACCCAATATGAAAAAAATGCTTTAAAATAATGTTAAAAGACCAGAAGCAGGTGCAAAGTTGGATGTGCAATGTGATCACAGGTCTGAAAAGCACATCAACCAAAGCTCTTCCAAGAATGAAATGTGGAAGTATAACTCACCACAGTGTGAACTCTGGTTTTCTCCATGTGGTGGGACATGCCTGTGGAGGGGGCTGAGGGACACATGGGACTCTTTTGCTTCAACTTTTCCATCCTTTCTAAATCTTCTGTAATGATCATGTAAAGTGAGGCTTTCAAAAATGAAAGAGCAAACGTATTACTGTCATAACGGGGGGAAATCAACTTTATTTTTAAACCTGTTTCACAAAGGATTTGAGAGCGATAAACTTGTTTTTTAAAGAAGAAAATCACTGTGAAAGAGCTTGGTAGTTAAAAAGCTTCTGTTGAAGCAGTAAACACAGCCTTCTATTTGCTGGCATCACTTCAAGGAGCAGCAATCTGATTGTGTTTAACTGGCACATTGAGAAAGCCCCAGGAGAAACCATGTTAGGAAGAATGTCCCAGATGCCAAATTTCAGATCCATGGGTATGATGCTTCAACATAGCAATGCTGCTGGAGTCATCTCTTTTCACTGTCTGGGAATCAAGGTCTTGGGAGTTTAGAGCTAGCTCAGTAATGTCTGTCAAAGCAGCACCAAAGAGAGACTCATCATCACACTCAGGAGACGGGAGTGGCTACCATCCTGTCCGGGTCCTTCCAGGAGGACGGTGACAGAGGAAGACCTACTCCTTCCCACACGGAGCAGAGAGCTTTGGATCTGAAGTCAGAGGGGTTGAATCATAGCTGTAGGTTGGCTCTCAGCCTGACCTTGGCCAAGCCAGCATTTAACCTCCCTGGGGCATGGTTTGCTCACTTGTAAAATAGGGGGTAATATCCTTTATCCTCTACCTCACAGGTTCCATGAAGAACAAGGTGGGATGAGGGTATGAAAAGAATCTGCAGACCATAAGGGGACCCATAGATGTGTGGGATTGTGACCGTGCATGAGCCGCAAGGCATTTCTGACTTGTGACTTAGTATCCAGGGCCCCTGAGGATGCCTTGGCATGCATCCAGGCCTATGCTGGGCTACACAAGTAATGATAACAACAACAATATCAATAGTAGCTGGTGTTTTGGGAGCACTGTGTGCCAGGCACTGTTCTAAGGACTTTACATGTGTCACCTCATTTTAAAGATTGGTTGATTGATTTTAGAGAGAGTGAGCGAGTGAGCATAGGGAGAGGCAGAGGGAGAGGGAGGGAAAGAGAAACTTTAGCAGATTCTGCACTGATGCAGGGCTCGATCTCATGACCCTGAGATCATGACCTGAGCTGAAATCAAGAGACTGACACCCAACTGACTGAGCCACCCAGGTGCCCCTGTATCACCTCATTTTAATACTTAAAACAGTTTCATGGTAATGTAGGTACCAAGAGGTAGGTACTGGAATAGTCTCCATTTTACAAATGAGGGAGAGGCCCAGAAAGGTTAAGTAACTTGAAAAGGATCACACAGCTAGCAAATGGGGGAGTGGGGTTGGAATCCAGGGCGTCCGACTCTGAAGTCTGATAGAAAGCTGTAGATATTTTTCTCGGCCATACAAGGAAGAGGGGTTTGGGATACTTGCTTATTAACTGGTTATCTTAGTTTCTTAGATTCAAGAGCTGCTGTTGATCAGGTTTGCTTTTCTTTGAGTGTTGCAATGAAGAAAACCTGCTGGTGGGCAGTGAATGGGACAAAGCGAATGGCGTTGTGACTGGTTGGAAATGGGACCCAGGCTGCCTGTGGGAAGGCATCCTTCTCCTCAGTGTCTCTGGCCATCAGAGGAAGGAGATGCTGTGTGGGAAAGGACTGTGACTATGGCTGCATTTTGCAGTAGTTTGAGGAAACCAGAAAGCGATCCAGGGCAGCATTGGGAGGCTTGAACTTGAGCGGAGACTATTTCTTAAGTAACAGACTCTGATGAGTTTGGAAAGGAGGATTTCTGCTGTTGGGTCTGGGATAAAAACAGCCTTGGACAGAGGCCTGACAGCCCTCAGGACTGAAGGGAGCAGTTCAGGGCAAAGAAAAAGCAGCAGAGGAGCCTGATGTACCTGTGGGCTTTTGCAAGGTTCAGGTTTGGAGGCCATGCAGCAGGAATAGTTTGAGCACAGCAGCACTGGTCTGGTGTTATGTGCAAGCCCTGGGAATGACATGCTAGTAGCTCTAAGGGCTTTGGGAAGACAGAGGCCCCAACAACCCATCATTATGCATCTTGGTGTTTTTAGTTGGGGCTCAAGGTCTGGGGAGACTAGGGAGGCAGTTCTCATCATTTCTAACATTATGCTTCCAAACCGGGCCAAGCACCTCCTAACCTGTTTTGTATTTCATTAGTTAATGATCCTTCAGTTCAAGGCTAAGTTTAGTCCTGATGGGACTCTATGGAAACTTGATAAGCAAGTTATTTCCAATGACTCCATCTCTGCTCCCCATCTTTCTGTATCCAGAACCTCCTTAAATCTCTTACCATTTAAGCTACTTTCTTTTAAAATTCTTTAGATTACCAGTCTCTTGATCCGTCCAAACAGAAATCATTGTTGGCTTATCCCTAGGATGAGTGATATTTATTTTTTGTTTTTGTGTTTTTATGTGTGTATGGTTTTTTGTTTGTTTGAATTGTTTGGATGAGTGATATTTGTAATGTTCCGAAAGGGAGTATATGGAGAGCAAGCTTTCCAAGAGGCCAAGTAGAAGCTGCCTGGCCCTTTGTGATGGTAGCCTTGGGAGTCACGTGGCATTGCTTCTGCCATACTGTAATTGGTTGAATGGTCTCAAGTCCCCTCATCTCCAAGGGGAGTGGACCTTACCTCTTAATGGGAGGCGTATAGGAGAATTTGCAGCCATTACCAAACCGCCCCACACACACACACAAACATATTTAAAGGACTACAGTATCTGAGAATTGAAAGGGATCATAGCGGATGATCTATTTCAGTCCTCTACCATGGATCAGCTCCTTTTCACAGATTTCCAGTCCTCCCATGGCTGGACCACTGTGAGGGGGTTGGGGGAGATGAGAGGTTCCTTCTGGTCTCTCCTGTCATCCATTCCCACCATTTCCCAGTCTGTTCTGTTCTTCACTCCATAGCCAGAGTGCTTGTTCTAAAACACAGATTTGCTCCTGTACATCACCCATCTTCACCTCCCCACCTCACTCCACTTCAGACCAGATTTTCCAACTTCAGCTCCCCTTGGCTTGTTTGTTTCTGTCAGATAGTTCTAATGCTTTTCCGTAATAATGGAGAAAGCTCTAGAGGTACCTTTCTCTCTCTCTCTCTCTCTCTCTCTCTCTCTTTGTTAATTTAAAATGTGACTTTTAAGGGCCCTTAGCCACCTCTGGGCTCATGAACACCATCAACACTGCAGAACCATGGAAAGGGGACCCAAGAGAGAATGGTCAAGAAGGATTGTTTCTCTTTCCCGGCATTAAAATTTCCAGCTCTCTGCTCAGTTATGTTCTTGCCTCCTTTCCCGAGGAGCTCACCATTCGGGGGCCCCTCTCTCCTGGCCTTTCTCCCCGCAGCTTCACTCAGGAACTGTGGGTGCTGCCAGTGTGACATCTCTGCAGGTGCTTATAGTGACACTGGGTCTTGTGAGATGTCTCAAGTCCTCAGTTGGATGTGAGTAGTTTATTTTTCAGAGAGAAAGATGTCACTGCTGCCAAGCAAACATAGACAACCTCAGTTACTTGGCTGAAGAAGACTTAGTGGCCTAAAAAGACATTTGCATCCAGAGACACCGTCCTTTCATTTTGCAGTTTGGGTTCTCGGATGAGGTTTATCTGGGCATCATAGGCCCCGGCAAGTAGCCGCATTCACCTCTGATTTCCTAGGCCTTGAGTTTCACAGTCCAGCCCTTGTAGGTGGTATGGAAACAAGATTGAAGATACACAGGTATCTTCTGCATCTTTGCTTACCTACCACTTCCTCGGAGACCGTGGCTCACCAGCCCTGCCCAGTGGGGCGGCTGCGGCATTTGCATCCGTGTTCTCACGTCGATGCCTGAATACGTGTAATGAGTGTCCTGTGCTGGGGGCCGCAGCTGTGGGATGGAGAGGTGCCCGTCTGGGCCACCCCTTCTCTCCAGGACCTCCCACAGCAGGCACTTGAGGATTATCCGAGGCCTGACCGCTGGTATTTTGTTTTGCAGGAACAGACAACCTCCAGATAACAGCCAGCCCGACCCCGGCGTCATCTCCTCATGGGAAGGTGTTCCCGATTTCACCAACATGGCCTTTCTCAGAAGTCCAGTCTTCCTCAGCAGTGGCCAGAGTCCAGAGTGTGCTGGGACCGTCCCCTGACAACACCAGCGCGCTGCAGTTCCCCCGAACACCTCCGCCCAAGACGCACCGCAGAGCTAGGGCTCACGGGGACTTCTCTGCTTCCCCTTTCCAAGGAAGTGGCCACAGTGCCCCTCTGGAGCCTTCCAAGGATTCCAGCGAGTCTGTGGTCCACCCGAGACCTCAAGGGGGAAAAGACGCAGCCTCCGAGTCAGGTTTGCCTCACATCAGCATGCTCCCCACCTTGTCCTCGACCCCATCTCAGCCAGTGTGGGTAGGGACTCCTTCCATTTCAGCCCGGCATTCCCCAAGATCAGACATTCTCCCGTTTCTCCCTCCACGTTCATCCTCTTCATTGGCTCCTGACTCACCTCATTCCATCATCTTTTCTAAACCAGCCGAACAACCCACCCAAGTGCCCGTATTCGCACACACAGCTCCAGCCAGCTCCTCTTCAGGTCAGGGTGTAGCTAATTCCCCAAACCCGTTTGCTGGGGGCATAAACCAGGCTCTGGCCAAAAATGCCCAGGATTTGATAGGCACCCCTCATCTCGGTTTTTCTGGACCCTCAACAGTGCAGCAGCCCAAGCTGCCCCCCACTGAGGGTCCTCACTCAGCAGGCTCCCCCACACCCGAGTTTCTGGGCTCTGCCCACATGCCTCCCACTCCCCTGGCACCTGGAAGTCTTCCTCGGCTTCCAGATGGAACTCCCTCACGGTTGGTGCTGGAAGTGTCTTCAAGGCCTACACCTCCCTGGCCAGTGGAAGCTGGGGTGGCTGAGGGAGCGCACAGTGGGGTGTCTTTGGCGGCATCTGAGAGTGAAGCAGCAGCAGCAGCAGCAGCAGCAGCAGCAGCAGCAGCTGTGACCCAAGAGGCCGTGTCTTCACTTTTCCAGACTGCAGGATCAGTGGCTGTGGAAACGACCAGCAGAAAGATAGCCCCTGCTACTGCAAACGACCCCGCTCACCCACTACATTTGTCAGCAGCTCCAGAGAATTCCAAAGGGCCCCTCCTTTTGGGGGATCACAGGTCTCCCTTGTTGGTGCCTTCTCCTCTGCCTCTCCCCACAGCCGCCAGCGGAGGGCAAGCCCTCCTTTCCGGGGCATCAGTCAGCACAGCGGCCAACTTTCCCTTGGCGCCCACTTTCCTCCAGCCAGTGCAGAATCCTGCCTCCCCCTCCACTGTGCCCCAGAGGCCAGCTCCCCAAGATGAGGGCAGCGAGCGATCCCCTCCTGCGGCAGCTACAGACTTGCCCCGCTCAAGCAAATCTCCCAATCTTCTTCCTATGACTCGGGCACTTTCCCTGCGGGAAGGAGATAGCGTGACAGCTGTTTTAGAGAAAAACGAAAAGGCAAATTGGACAGCTGCTCTCCAGCCCCTTCCAAGTAGAGAGTTTCCAAGTCCTCACACTGTGAATGGATTCACCTCTGATTCTAGCACAGATCACATTCCATCTTTTTTCACTGCAACGGCGAGAACAAGCCTCCTTCCTTCAGAATTAGCTCTCCCTTCCATGCTCTCCATGCAAAGCACCCAGACTATGTCCCCATCCCCTAGTGTGTCCAGCATCAAGCCAGAGACCCATGCATCTGTAGTAGATCACTCCGAGTTGCCAGCTTCAACTTCCCAACAGGTGATAGCATTTCCCTCCTCCACTGAAGTCTATGATTTCTCCGCAGTGAGACATGTGAAAATGCCAGCAACCACAGATGTTTTCTGGAGTTCTCTTTCCACAGAAACTGGATCGCTCTACACAGAGCCAGTGATATCTGGCTTGCCGCAGCAAACAAATTATGATTTAAATGGGCACGCCATTAACTCCACCAGTTGGGAAACTCATTCAGCTTCAACTACTCCTCCCAGTGGTTCAACATCAGCTGCCAGTACAATAAACTCTTCAGATCTCAGAGCTACTGCTGGGCATTCAGTGACTGCAGGAGGCTTTACCATCCAGCATCCAGTCCTTGGTACAAGCACCAGCCAGCCCATTCAACAGTCAGAGGTTACCATGGTTGGAAACCACACAGCCCTCGTGTCCATAACCAATAATTATTCCAGAGACTTCCAAGCAGCGGAGGTTGAAGAGTACGCACCCACTAGCCAACAGGCTACGTCTCATCCCCGTCCACAGCTGCCTATGCATCCAACACGTGCTCTTTTGCCAGCCTCTCCAAGCCTAACTTTTACAGCCAAATTGCAGCAAGTGCTTTCAGTTGGAATGGACACGAGTCTCTCAATTTCCAGTGATGTCGATCCGTCTCCTGTGACAAGTGCTTCTCCAGCATCCCAGAGTGTCTTGAGATACAACTCTACTGCCGAATCTCCTCCTCTGTCAACCAGGGTCATATTCAGGACCCCATCCAAAGTTCTGCTGGCTTCTCAGCACCCTGAGAAATGGACAGGTGCAACCACTCATGCAGGTAGTTTGCTTCCCGGTACCCCCCCAAACAGGTCTGACCGCTTCTGTGGACAAAGGATCTTCACGTTGAACACAGATACCCAGCTTTGCTTAGAAGGAGCAGAAACACACCTTAAAGATGATGAATGAGTTAGCAGCCCCAAATAGTCACGTCCTTGATCCTCTGCTGACTAGAGTTTTTGAAAAGTACAGTCAGCCTCCAACTTAGGATGGTTTGACTTAAACAATTTTTCAGCTTTTTAACAGTGCAAAAGCAACATGCATTCAGTAAAAATCATACTTCGGATTTTGAATTTGGATCCTTTCCCAGGCTAGCGATAAGTGGTATGATCCTCTTTTGTGATGCTGGGCAGGGCAGCGAGTCACAGCGCCCAGCCAGCCACAGGATCACGAGGGTCAACAATGATACAATTACAGCCATCCTGGACCCATGCAACTATTCTTTCACTTTCAGTATGGTATTCAATAAATTACCTGAGATATTCAACACTTTATTATAAATAGGCTTGTATTATTTTTTTAAAGATTTTATTTATTTATTCATGAGAGACACAGAGAGAGAGGCAGAGACACAGGCAGAGGGAGAAGCAGGCTCTGTGCAGGGATCCCGATGTGGGACACGATCCCAGGCCCCCGGGATCACACCCTGAGCCAAAGGCAGACACTCAACCACGGAGCCACCCGGGCATCCCAAAATAGGCTTGTTTTAGATGATTTTGCAAACCCAGTGTGGGCTAATGTAAGTATTGTGAGCACGGGTGACGTGGGCTAGGCTAAGCTAGCATGTTCGTAGGTTAGCTGTATTACATGCATTTTTTATTTATGGTCATTTCAACTTATGACGGGTCTTTTGGGACGTAACCCCATCGTAAGGAGAGGGAGATCTGTATTCTGAATTTAAATGTCCTTATTGCCAACCACAGGTTTCCATAAGTGACACTCTCATTAGGGGTAATTGACTTAATGAACCTAGAGCTGTTTTGCCTAAATTCCAGAGCACAGAGACTTTTCATGCCAGCAAACCCGTAAGTGACATCCATCCATCACCACCACAAGTGACATGTGTGCTGCAGACCAGTGACAGACCTTTGCTTTTTTTTCTTTCTGCAGCAGACCCCTCCGTGTCATCCAAGGTGGAGCCAACAGCAGCAGCGGTGGCCACGTCATTACTGGGGAAATCAAGTCCGCTGGCGCTGTCTGCAGCCCTGGTTGCCAAGGGCCCTGGCCCTGGCAGCAGCCCTTCAGCCATGGCCTCAGGATCAGTCAAGAGCAGCTGGACCACTGCTCTAGCTAAAAACGTCACAAACAACACAGCACTTGGCCCAAAGACGACGCCAGGGGCAGTGCATCCGGCCTTCTCATTCACGCCAACCTACATGTTTTCAAGAGCGGCACACACCGTGAGCGCTCATACAGCCATGCAAGGGAACACAGGCACCGCCTCCGGCCTGTTGTCCACTACACACCTCCCCAGGAAACCACAAGCCATGCACACGGGCCTCCCGAACCCCACCAACCCAGACACGCCCAGAGCATCCACCACACGCCCGCTGACTATCACAGCAGCCTTGACATCCATCACAGCACCCGTGAGGGCCACCCGGTTGCCACCTGTGCCAGCGGAAAATACAGACACTGCCCTTCCCGCTGCGTCGACCGCTGTGGTCACAACCGGCAAAATGGCATCCAACCTGGAGTGTCAGATGTCCAGCAGGCTCCTGGTGAAGACAGGTAAGAGTCCACCGTCCTTGGAGTTTACTTGAAAGTAGCAGGCACGCCCTGGCGTCAGAGATGTAGCAGAGATGAGATCGGCGGTTCTCAGCCAGGAACAGTTGTGCTCCTTCTCCCCCAGGAGGTGTTTGGCCCTGTCTGGAGACCTTTTTGGAGGGTAGGGAGCGTGCTACTGGCATGTAGTGAGACAGAGACCAGGATGCTGTCAAACGCCCCACCAGGCACAGGGCGGTCCTACAGCAAAGGATAATCCCCGCCCCAAATGTCCAAGTGCTGGGATTGAGGACCCCCGGTCCTTATCAAGTGACAGAGGAGAAGGGAGCTTTACGTGACCTGCATTCTGGTCCCAGGATCAGTCCTGCTATCAGAGGCCTCCCTAGGGAAACTGTTTCTGCTGATGAATCCGGGAAAACAAACATGTAGCGAATTTTGCCTGAAGAGCAAACCAGTGATGTCTCACGTGAATGAATGAATGATCAGTAAAATGTCACGTCTTGGAAGCCCTGCAGAATTCAGAAAGGCTTCTGTTAGGTGGTTTCTCAGCCTGCAGGTAGTAAAAGTACAGCTGCACGATGAGGGTGCCCAGGATTTCTTTCGATGTTGAAAAGGAGGCCGTGAAAAAGTCGGGTGGTAAATGCTATCTCTAGCCACCACCTCCCAGTTGCAGCAAAGCAGGGCAGGAAGGCACCGGGTGCTTTTAACAGTGGGGTAGTGTTGGCTATAAAAAGCACTAGACACGTTATCTGAGCCAGCAAGCCAGTGCTGAATGCTCGAGTCCCGCCTTCCTCTTCACCCTACAAAGGATTAAATGAAATTATATCTGGAGACGTAGCCTATTCTAAAATGGGAAATTGTGAAACTAGGCAGACCAGAAAGTACAGTATCTCTTTCTGTTTCTCAAGGAATTATACCATCTCTTTTTCCACTCCCCCTCCTCTGAGAGGCAGGCAACCCCAACCACCTAGATGCAGAAGTCTGGAACATTCTGTCCCCCTCCCCCTTCTTCCATCACCCCCATCACCCCAGCCACACCTGGTCAACCACCGGTGCCCTTCATTCAGTTCGACTTCCTTCAGCACCCTTCTCTCCATCCCCACCGCCGCGTCCCTCGTTCACCCTGTCATCAGCCACCTCAATTTCTGCAACAACAACCAAATTTATCTGCCTTAGACTAGCCCCCACCCCCTCCAATCTGTTCTCCAGTCTGTAGTCAACGGGACCCTCTAAAATGTATGCTTTTCCTTAAAGCCCTTCACGTCCCATCGCCTGCAGGACCAGACCTAAACTTGTATCCTGAAAGGCTTCGCTCCTCACCCTGTGCCTTTGAACTTGGTCTTGTCTCTGCTGGGAGTGGCGAAGGGCGGTCCCTCTCCACTCATCAGGAGATGGCCTTGCTCATCAGGAAACCTTCCTTGATTCCCACCCCCTTGCCCAGGTCCAGGCTGGATGTTCCTAGAGCATCGCAGGCTTCCCTTCAGATAGCACCTGTCACCTTCAGTCACAGGTGCCAGTCTCCACTCCAGGTCTCCATCCCACTCTGCCCCACTTGTGGGGTGGGAACTGCAGCTTCCTGAATCAGGGGTGTTTGGGCAGCACAACCTCCCTCAGGGCCTGCGCCTAAGCAGGCTGTTGAGGAACGCTGTGGCAGGTGTTTTCTGCAGGCCCCCCATCAGGACCTGGTACCGCTGAACCCAGTTTTCAAAGTCAAGGGCAGAGTTGGTCAGAAATGAAGCATGGCTGGCATATTAGCTCTCTCTCCGCCAGGGCCACACAAATACAAGGGCCTTCCTTCTTTGGGCTTGAGTGGGACCCCAAAGCAACAACCCCAGGCCCCCGCTCTCATTGCTTGGACCTGCACCCACCAGACTTCCTCAGAACTTGCAGGAGGTGGAGGATGGAGAGGAGAGGGGAGCTCATTAATTAGGGGGTCTGCTGCCCTACCCTGACGACCGTGCTTCTGTTTGGTCCCACAGTTCTCTTTCTGACCCCAAGGAGAGGGCAGAGCAGTGAAACCTTGAAATTCAACATTGCCAAAGGGCTCACGCAGGCATTACGGAAGGCTTTCCACCAGAACGACATCTCGGCTCACGTAAGTCTCTTGGCTCCGTAATGAGACTAAGGCATCCACACCTTCCTCTTGGGCCCAGAGTATGTTTAGATTGTGTTCCTCCTCCCTGGGTACCGTAACCATTCTTGTCAGAAGCCATGTCTTCCTTCATTTTGGCAGATAGCTAATAATATGTGATGACTGGATAAAAGGTCTAATTTTGACATAGAAATGGAGGTTGACTGCCTTATGTCTAAATTTTTTTCAAGCCTAGATACTGTTTTTTTTATTTTTATTTTTTTAAAGATTTTATTTATTCACTGGAGACACACAGAGAGAGAGAGAGAGAGAGGCAGAGACACAGGCAGAGGGAGAAGCAGGCTCCATGCAGGGAGCCTGATGTGGGACTCGATCCCGGGTCTCCAGGATTAGGCCCTAAGGCTGAAGGCGACACTAAACCGCTGAGCCACCTGGGCTGCCCCAGATATACTGTTTTAAACCATCCCGTTATCCCATTATTGGGGATACTTTAAATACTTTCCCATCGGGAAAGTATTTAATAGTGTTAGTGTAATTCTCAAGAAATTGTCTGTTTCCTTTCCCTTTATCTTCCTCAGCACTGTAAATAGTGATTTATTTCTGGACATTTAAAAATTATTGTAAATTGAGTCCAACTTTGTGCTTCAATAGCCCGCAGCAGACAGGGAAATAAACATGTTTTTTTCCCCAAGCACTTTAATGCCAAGTACTATTTAGTAACCACCAGCTGATTTCCATGGCATATCCAAGCGATGGAAGCCTCACTTTACACTCTTTTGGACTGATTACAAGTTTTAAAGCCCTACGTGTGATTGGCAGTCAGTGGACAACCCTTTTCACCTCTTAAAAATATTGCTCTGGCTTTTTTTCCTTTGAGGCCTGTCTGCAGTTGTATCTACCTTCGTGGTCTCCATGACCACACCAAGGACTAGGGATGAGGTTTGGTACATAGGTTATTGGTCATTGTCAGCCTCTTTTTTTGGAGGTAGGATGGGGGAGGAGCAGAGGGAGAGGGAGAGAATCTCAAGCAGACTCCCAGCTGAGCGTGGAGCCAGATGTGGGGCTCAGTCTCACAACCCTGGGATCATGACCTGAGCCAAAACCAAGAATCACATGCTCAACTGACTGAGCCACCCAGGTGCCCCTGTCAGCCCCTTTTATATAATTCTGAGAGAGAGAGAGAGAGAGAGAGAGAGAGAGAGAGAGAGAGAGAGAGAAGAAAGAAGAAAGAAAGAAAGAAAGAAAGAAAGAAAGAAAGAAAGAAAGAAAGAAAGAAAGAAAAGCAAAGAGAGGCATTTCATGAAAAGCATCCATGATGTCTGCACTAGAAGCTTTATTTGAAAGTTGAAAATGGGGGCACCTGGGTGGCTCAGTTAGTTAAGAATCTGCCTTTGGCTCAGGTCATGATCTCAAGGTCCTGAGATGGAGCCCGCTTTGGCTCCCAGCTCCATGGGGAGCCTGCCTCTCCCTCCCTCCCCTGCTCTCTCTTGCTATCTCTATCTCTCTCTCGAATACATAAAAAAAAGTCTTGAAAGAAAGAAAGAAAAAAATGTAAGTATTTTTATTTGGTCACCTGACATGTAATTTTCACTCAACTTTGATTGTTTTCAAACTACCTTCAGTTTTTACCTTTTTTGCATATCATCCCAGACCACTGTGACAATCAGTTATGAATTCGTTTTTTAAAAATCAGCCCATTTTTTAAAACTTTTGAAAGGATGTCTGATATTACTGCCAGGAGTGAAAATCGGGATCATTTGCCACAAACAAAAGCTAATCAGAAAAATGAGAATAATGGTAATGACTTGTTAAATTCAAGCTAGACATTGTTGCTTGAGGAAGGCTCTAAGGCTGATGTCTCTGGTGTCCCTTTGTTTAAAAATATGATTAACAAAAAAAAAATGATTAGCAAGCTTTAGAGAGGTGCTAAAAATAATCCCCAAACTGAGACTTGTTCCTTGAGGTCATTAGGATTGGAGCAGAGTCCACTCTTTTAACAGATGTTTGTGTTAAAAACATCTTGAGGGGCACCTGGTTCAGTGATTGAGCATCTGCCTTTGGCTCAGGGTGTGATCCTGGAGTCCTGGGATGGAGTCCTGCACCGGGCCCCCTGCAGGGAGCCTGCTTCTCCCTCTGCCTGTGTCTCTTAAAAAAAAAAAAAAAAAGGTTTTATTTATTTATTTAAGAGAGACACAGAGAGAGAGAGAGAGAGGGCAGAGAAATTGGGTCAAAAAGAACTCAAAACATCGGTGTCCCTTGGGACTCAGTTTTAAGGGAGACTTTCCATAGCCCATCCCCATCCTCGCCTTGGTCTTGAACCAACTTCCAAGCCAGGAATGGAGTGGAGTCTGAACAGTCCTTCTCTCAGTTTCTAGAAAGAGGAATTCACCTCATCTACTACTAATCCCCATCCTAAAGGAGCCCCCACTTCATCTATCATTTCTGCCTTTTCATTTTCGTAAATGAAAAGCTGTTTTTCCCAGCATTTCATCTCTGGAAATCTCTTTTGCCTGCCCTCTCCTGTCTGCCTTCTTGGGTGACTGTTGGTGCTCACAGGATGACACTGAGGCATTTAAGGAATCAAGAAAACCCCCACAGATTTAATTCCCTTCCATGTTGGTTCGCAATAAGTTGTATTTCATTCTATCCCGCTATTTTGAGACTTGCCAATCCACGTAGCACTTTTATAAATTATTAGAATATTCGTCGAATGAGAACATCTTGCTCCCCAGCCGTGCCAAATAATGATTGTGGTTCGAAGAAATACCAAGAAGGACTTCAAGTATGGTGGAAATAAACACTGAGTTCTGTGGGTCTGTTGTTTTGTAGGTGGACATTCTGGAACATTCTCATAATGTCACCGTTGGTTATTATGCTACCAAAGGGCGGCTGGTGTACTTGCCTGCTGTCGTGGTCGAGATGCTGGGTGTTTATGGGATCAGCAATGTCACTGCGGATCTGAAGCAACACACCCCAAACTTACAGTCAGTGGCGGTACTTGCCTCCCCGTGGAATCCCCAGCCTGCAGGCTGCTTCCAGCTGAGAACAGGCAAGTACCTCAGAAAGAAGGGATTCCTGTCCGTTCCGGGATCGGGGGCAGCATCACGAAGATGCCTATTTAAAAACTTGAGTGCTAGTGGCTCTGTCGTCTCTTAAAGTCCTGTGTACCTTCCTCAAAGGGCCCTGCTAATCAACTGTCCAAGTCCCTGCCTATGAACCTAAACTTCCTCACCCTGGATTTATTAGAAATAGTCCTTCAGGGACGCCTGGGTGGCTCAGCGGTTTGGTGCCTGCCTTCGGCCCAGGGTGTGATCCTGGAGACCTGGGATCGGGTCCCATGTCCATGGAGCCTGTTTCTCTGTCTCTCTGCCTGTATCTCTGCCTCTCTCTGTATCTCTCACTAATAAATAAATAAAATCTTAAAAAAAAAAAAAGAAAGAAAGAAATAGTCCTTCAGGGGCACCTGGGTGGCTCAGTTGGTTGAGCATTTGCCTTTTGGGTTGCTCAGTCCTGGGATCGAGTACCCACATCAGGCTCCCTCCCTGCTCTATGGGGACCTTGCTTCTCTCTCTCTCTCTCTCTCTCTCATTAATAAATTAATAAAATCTTTAAAAAAAAGGAACAAGTCCTTCACAGGAGCCTTCCTCCTCAATTTATATAATTAGGACTTTATGAGCAACAGGCACCGTATTTTTAATTTTTTCCTGTATTACCAGTGGATACTGGTAAGAGCTGAGCATCCATAAAATCTGTGCTTTGGACCAACACTGTTCCAAGGTGCCCCTGAATCAGAAGCTCTGAACTTTGGCCTCAGAATCTTTCTCTCAAGCACCCTCGTGATTCTGATCATGTGGTTAGTAAGCCCCAAGAGTGGAGAAATTATTGAAGGTGAAAGACTCAATCAACTAAGTGATGCAGGTCAATTCACAAGCCCCCACCCCCCAAACCTCACCCAAGAAATAGAAGGCATGATCTCTCTTTGATTGTTTTGGTTTTTTTTTAATCATTCTTGGAGCAGATGTCTACACAGTCCAACAAAATCCTTTGCATTAGAGGGAACCTCAGATTTGATCGTGCTTTTAATTCTTCTTTATTCATAATCATTTTAAGAGCCACTTCCAACCCTGCAACCAAACTTTGTCAGTCCTTATTTGCCTGATTTCTCTGATGTAAAATCATGCTGTTTTATATGAAGACTGCTATTAAGTCCAAGGAGCTAAGTCACACATCACTTCGGCAAGCGCTGATTTATGACTCTCCTTCTAGTGCTACAGTTTGTGAGCCAATCTGACAACATCCAGTCCTGCAAGTTCGCTCAGACGATGGAACAGAGGCTGCAGAAGGCCTTCCAGGATGTTGAGAAGAAAGTCCTAAATACCAAAAGCAACCTGACCATTCAGGTAAGGAGGAGGGTGCTTCAACTGTGTCGTTGATGTTGGCAAGAAGTGACTCGGTCTCCTGTTTCAAAGATGCCTGGTGTAAGTGTAACTCCGTCACTTAGACAGGAGGAGGTGCCGCTCTGGGGCCCCTGAGAAGACTCAGTTCCAGCACCGATGAGGACGTCTGTGACAGGAGGGGTACTGTTTTGCTATATACCTGCTGTGGTTTGGGGTTTTATATTTATTTTCCCATGTGACGCTTCCTCAGGCCTTCCCAATACATTTGCTATTTTGTTTTATTTTGTATTGTTTGGTTGTTTGGGGTTTTAGGGGTTTTTTTTGTTTGTTTTTAGATTGTTTTTATTCATGAGAGACACAGAGAGAGGCAGAAACATAGGTAGAGGGAGAAGCAGGCTCCCTGTGGAGAGCCCGATGTAGGACTTGATCCCAGGACCCCAGGATCACGCCCTGAACCAAAGGCAGATGCTCAACAACTGAACCACCCAGGCATCCTGGTTGTTTGTTTAGAGAGAGCACACACAAGGGTGCACAAGAGCAGTGGCGAGGGTAGAGGGAGAGGGAGAGAGAATCCCAAGCAGGCTCCGTGCCCATTATAGAGCCGGGTGCAGGACTCGATCTCATGACCAGGAGATCATGACCAGATGTGAAATCAAGAGTCAGACATATAGCCCACTGAGCCACTCAGACGGCCCAATACATTTACTATTTTAAAAACTGAAGTAGATGTGCAATATAAGGTACAATTTCATAAAACGAATCAAATGTCTCATAAAATGAAATCAATTCCAAATAGCTAACTCATCAAGATTTGCCTATCCTGTGATTTGCATTGAGTTGTTTCCTAGACATCCACATGAACAGTCACCTTAGTTTAAACAAACACATATACACATTTTATATTTGGGGCTCATCGTATGCCATGACTGCGCTAAATGTTTTAGAAATATTTTGCTGCATAATACTCAAGACATCTTTCTGAAGTATTATTATCATCATTTCACAGAAAATGGGACTGAGAGAGAGGCTAAGAAACTTTCAGAAAGTCACACGGTAAAGAAGGGAATAAGGACTTGAGTCAAGGCCCATAATCTTATCCGCTATGCTAAACCATGGAACTTTTGGTGAACACATGAATTTTTCTTGGAAAAATCCCACTGCTAGTACAATATATTTCAGTTTCCTGGACTTACAATAGATATGCCACCAAAAGCTTTCCTCAGACCCACTTTTTTGCAATTATATAACTAACATCCCACTAAAGACATATGCTTTTTTTTTTTTTTAAAGTAAGCTCCACATCCAGCATGGAACCCAGTGTGGGGCTTGAATTCAGTCAACCCTGAGATCAAGACCTGAGCTGAGATCAGAAGTCGGACCCTCAATTGACTGAGCCACCCAGGCACTCCAAGACAGATCCTTTTTTTTTTTTTTAGGATTTTATTTATTCATTCATGAGAGACACACACGAAGAGAGAGGCAGAGACACAAGGCAGAGGGAGAAGCAAGCTCCATGCAGGGAGCCCGACGCGGGACTCAATCCTGGGTCTCCAGGATCATGCCCTGGGCTGAAGGTGGCGCTAAACCACTGAGCCACCCGGACTGCCCCAATGCTTTTTAATCATATTCATCCAGCCCCCAAATTTCTCTGATTAACTATACAACCCAATGTCCTGTTTTTACTGAACTAAATCCTTTGCAATTAAACCCAGTGGTTTTGAAATTGACATTTAGCATAAGTGAATTATCAGCAAAGCCAATATGAGGTAGAAAGCATACAATTTAATTTGAAGAAGCAGCTTTCCTTTTCTAGATTTATCCAAAATGTATATGAAAGTATCTCATTATGATTCAGTTCATATTAGATTAAGATCTAAAAACGTGTCACAAACATAAGATTTATGTAAGAAGTATGACTCAGCTCCCTTGTGGGAGATCTTTTTCTTTCTGATTGGCTTTGTGATCTTCACAGGTGCATGATTCCAGTTAGGGCTTGGAGGCAGAGTGTACTCTGATTGTATTCAGGAAGCACAGACCCATTGAGCACCTCCTGTTTATATAAATAAGCTGCCTTTGGCCTTAAGAAGACTCTGTGTTATAGGATAGTCATGGGCCATGAGATGAAACCTTGTACAGCAAATAACAAAGTTTCCTTGGAAAAAACTGTAACGGACAATTTGAGAACTGCATCTAAATAAATTTTGGGTGCTCTTGAACATTTCAACAGGTCTTGAAGTAAATGGTTAATTGGGTGAATTATTTCATTAACCCTGCTCCACTTTTTGCCATGGCTGACAGGAAGCCTGGAACCACTTTGTAGCCTGGATTCTGGAACCCTCTAGGCCCATTTATCATACATATATGTAGCTGCATGCTAATCATCCACCTGGACTTGTTCCAGGACCTGGTTTTATAATTAATAACTTTCCATTTTACTGTATTAAGTATAATTTGGAGGAGCACCTTGGATTTTTTTGGACCACATAGGTATTTAATTTGTTCAGAGAGTCGTGGAAAAGTTTTTTTTTTTTTTTTTAACTTGTATAGCATTGGTATTAGGGGCTAGATTGCAGTAGACTCAATTAGGACCTTTTTGGTTGTGAATGACAGACTCTAAGCATATAAGATTTAAGCAAAAAGAAGTAATTGGGGCAGCCCAGGGGCTTAGCAGTTTAGCACCGCCTTCGGCCCAGGGCCTGATCCTGGAGACCCGGGATCGAGTCCCACGTTGGGCTCCCTGCATGGAACCTGCTTCTCCCTCTGCCTGTGTCTCTGCCTCTCTCTCTCTCTCTCTCTCTGTGTGTGTCTCTCTTGAATAAATAAATAAAATCTTAAAAAAAGAGAAAGTAATTGGCTCATAGAACTGAAAGGTTCACAGCATATTTCATTCAGGCCCGATTTGATTCACGTGCTTATATGATTTCTTCAAAAAGTTCTCTTTGTCTCTTGGCCTTGCACTGGGCTGACATCATCTTCAGGCCCAGTGGGGTGGCCCCTGGCACCTCCAGGTTTGTCTCATTCTTGTTGCTTACAGTCTTATAGAACCAAGATACCTATTTTGGTGGCCTTCCAGTAAAAATCCTGGGATTAGCTCTCATTGGACTCATTTGGATTGTGTTTCCATTTCTGGAGTCATAACTGTGGCCAAGGAGATAAAACGTCCCAATGTCTCCGAGGCCTGGCTATCCCCACTCCTAGAACTTGGGTAGAGCAGCCCCACCCAAAGCCCATGAACCCAGCTGGAGAGAAGAAGTATGTCCTCAAGGAAATTGTGGTGCTGTCATAGAAGAAAGAAGAATGGATGCTAGGTAGGCAAAATAACAGCCTTCCTTTCTGCCAGTCTTTTTAAGGTCTAACTAGCTAAATGAATTGTGGCATGAATGAGTGGGAAGTAAGAGATAACGTCAGGAACAACAGGACTCTAAGAGTAAAGGAGGTAGTGGGAAAGTGCCCCCTGTAAGGGCTGCTTCTACTTGGGGACAGGGCATGACTTTCAGGGAACACTGACCTGGCCTTGGTCTCAGGCCTGTGGACCTCTCATTTATGAAGCTAGTGTTAAGTAGCCATCAAGATTGGTCACACTTTTCTTAGCTATAAAAAAATGAGTATACTAAAGAAGACCAAAAAAAAAAAAGGGGGGGGGAATCTCTGCTTATGAATTTGAAGATTTGATATTGTTAAAATGTCAGTACTGCTAAGAGCAATCTACAGATTCTATGCAATCCCTATCAAAATCTCAGTGTTTTTTTTTTTGCAGAAATAGAAAAATCCATCCTAGAATTCATATGGAATCATAAGGAACCATGAATAGCCAAAACAGTCTTGAAAAAGAAAAACAGCTCGAGGTTTCATACTTTCTGATTTCAAAACTGGAATATATAAAGAACCCATACAACTTAAAAACACAAAAACAATCTTATAAAGAAGTGAGCAAAGAGTTCTAATAAACAATTCTCCAAAGAAGATCTATAGATGATCAATAAGCACATAAAAAAGGTACTCTACATGACTTAATCATCTGGGAAATAGAAATCAAAACCACAGGATACCACTTTGCAATCTATTAGGATGGCCATCATAAAAAAAAGAGAATAACAAGTGTTGGTAAAAATGTGGACAAACCAGAACCCTGTGCACTGCTGGTGAGCTTCGCAAATGGTGTAGCTCTGTGGAAAACAGAATGGTGGTTCCTTAAAAATTAAACCTAGAAATACCACATGATCTACACAAAAGAATCGAAAGCAGGGACTTAAACAGATATTTGTACAGCCATGTTCATAGCAGCATTATTCACATTAGCCAAAAGGTGGAAGCAACCCAAATGTCCATCCACAGATGAATGGATAAGAAATGTGATATATATTTACACACACACACAATGGAATGTTGTTCATTTTTAAAAAGGAAAGAAATTCTGACCCATGCTACCACATGGATGAACCTAGAGGATATTATGTTAAGTGAAACAAGCCAGTCACAAAGGGACAAATACTATATGATTCCACTTATAAAAGGTGTTTAATTTTGTCAAATTAATAGAGACACAAAGTAGAATGGTGGTTTTCAGCGGGTGAGGAGAGAAAGAAATGGAGAGTTGTTTAATAGATACCAAGTTTTGGTTTGGGAAGATGAAAAAGTTTGTTGAAAAGCAAAAAATAGAATGTTCACATCAGAGATAAGGGTTGAAAAGTTATTTTAGTTATTATTATTATTATTTTTTTTAGGTGGCAGTATGGGGAAGTCTTTTAAATTGTTCAGAAAGAAGCACCTTTCTTTCTGGTACCCTGGGGAAGAGCCATGAATACCGGTGGCTCAACCACACTACAAAAATACTTTCAGAGAGGAGAGAAAGAGTGGACCAGCAGTGTTGACTCGATGTATCATAAATCATGGGACTATAGGCTCTGTGTTAGTGAATTAAATAGCAACTTCCACTTATGGGGAAAAGTGGGAAATAATGTGAAGAAGCTATTCTTGACAGTCTTCTTAAAAATAACATTTAAAGGGAAAGTTGCAGGGATCTTCATGCCTGAAGGCACAGAGGTCTGGGAAAGACAGGATTTCCATCAGCTCCCTATAGGAAGAGAGGGCACACTCAGTTTAAGGTAATTTGAATAAAGTCTAATAACAGGGACCTTTGGGGTGCCTGGATGGCTCAGTGGTTTGAGCGTCTGTCTTTGGCTCAGGGCGTGATCCTGGGGTTCTGGGATCGAGTCCCATATTGGGATACCTGTGGGGAGCCTGCTTCTCCCTCTGCCTGAGTCTCTGCCTCTCTCTGTGTGTCTCTCATGAATAAATAAGTAAAATCTTTAAAAATAAATAAAAAATAAAAGGGACCCTTGGCAGAAGTACAGGCAGGCTCTAGGGAAACCACAGGGCAAGTACAGTACCCAAAGCGGTAAGTGTCGGGGCCTGATGGGGTGAGAAGAGTGAGCAATTATGGGAAGCCAGAGGCCAGAGCTGCCCTACAGGAGACGTGCTGTGGGGAGGGAGTCCCGGACGCCAGTTCTCTGACCTCCCTCTCCTCCCACTCTCCCCTATCCTCCCGGGGCTCCTTTTAGCTGAAGCTAAAGGAGGGAAGAGAAACCCACTGAGGTGGTCCACCGGGGTCTGCCTCTGGGTGCGCTGAACAAAACGAGGGTGGGTGGGTGGGCGGCTAGAGAATCTGGAAGGGGAAGGTGCAGCGGGGGCGGGGGGCACAGAGCCCCACACTGTCTCACCAAGTAGAATGACTTCCTACTGCATCTGTTTTTCAAATCTCATCCGTGGGATATTTTTGTCCATACACTGACCCAGAAAACTGCACTTTCCGGTAACTGTAAAACTGACTTCGACAGATTTTTGAGAAGAAAACCACACCGTCCCATAGTCCTATTTACATATTCTATATTGAATTAATAGGTCACGAGGAAATGTAATCACTCCCCCAAAGAGCCTGTTTTATATTTCTGAATTCCTTTTGAGTCAAGGTTTCATCAGGCTGTTCACTAGCACGGTGATCCGCTGTATAGGAACTTAAAAGATTCCCCCCCCCCCAAGTTTAACTCAGGCTCCCTCTGAGCGGTTGAGCCCTCTTAGATTTAACATTGTCCATGCTCTATGCTCTATTCTGTGTGTTCAGATCCATAAATGTTCAGAACCATAAAAGTAACCTTGAGGCGATTCTAGAAAAGATACCCACGCCCGCTTAAGACCTGAGGTCAGACTGCCGGGTTCGAATCCGGGCTACTCTCTTGATCACGCCAGGCCTCAGTTTCCTCCTTTGCAAAACGGAGTCGTGAGTGGATGCAGTTCCCGGGGCATCTGAGGACTGAGTGAGATCACACGGCCCTAGCACCACGCCTGGCACTCCATGAGCAGCCCCTACGTGGCGAGTGGTGTTATTCTGGTCTCTTCCTCGCTCCTTTTTCCACCTCCCTTTCATTTCTACCCGCAACTTCTGCTCGAATTCCTCCTCCCACGGCCTCCATGAAACAGACCCTCATCTTATTTGGTGTGTCTGCCCCCCCCCTCCTGTGTCGATTCAGATGGTGAGCACATCCAACGCCTCGCAGACAGTCACCTTGGTGTACGTGGTGGCCAATCGAAGCTCCTTCCTCAACGGCACGGTCGCCAGCAGCCTCCTCCGCCAGCTCTCGGCCGAGCTGGTCGGGTTCTACCTCACTTACCCGCCGCTCACCATTGCTGAACGTGAGTACGTCCGTGCCCCCCACCCTGGGGCGCTACCTTTTCCCTGCACCCACCAACACCCCCCGCCAGGGCAGGGGTAGGGGGTTCTTTCTCCACTTAGTGAACATCTTTTGTGCCAGCCACATACTCACTCTCTGATCATAAAATAACTGAAATGGGTGATACACCGGGACTGACCTGCTGACAAGTTTATTGCATGTTGGAAGAAAGCGCTGGCTGGGGGCCCTTACCCTGTCATCGAGTCCTCACAAAGCACCCTAGAAGGTAGCACCAAATGAGCCCCACTTTGCGAAGGAGAAAACTGAGATCCCAAGAGGTTTAACCAGATGCCCCCTCTCACGTAGCTAATGAGACATGGAACCTAGGGTTCAAACCCAAGCAGTCTGCCTTTGAGCTTGCAGGAACAGCCTGGAGGGCGTCTGTCCTTGTGGCAATCTGGGTTGCAATGGTTTCCCTCACTTGCGCCATCAGCAAATGCTCCAGGGCCTTTGCCCCTTGCCCTGGCTATTGCTGTCGTAATGCAGCTCGTTTGCAGTCAGCATCGTGACTTCACTGGATGAAGTTCCCATAGTCAGTCCTGTGGCCTGTCTTCCTCTGATGCTCAGTTACGTAATTCTCATTACCATGCAGCAGGCATAGACTCGGAAGACAACGCAGCCTACATTTTGTACCCAAACACTTACTTGGTGGCCAACTGAAGTCAAGATTTGTGCTGTTAAATTTAATTGTCAACACATTTCTCAAGGTCACTGGTCCAGGGTTTTGTTTTGTTTTGTTTTGAGGCACATAGTAGCAAAATTGCTTCTGTTTCTTTCTGTGGTTACATTTGAGACTATAAACAAATAAAATGATGTGTGTGGATGGACACAGCACACAGTAGCCACTAGGAATTTTTTTTTTGAGTGTTTAATAGCAGGCTTTTGGAATTTCATGTAGTAAGGAAAGGTGACTCTGGATTTTATGGAAAAGGTGATGGCATGAAAGATAGCATTATGTCAAATGGCAGCATGCAAAGAAGTTATTTTCTTTCCTCTTGATATTTTGATAATAACAACTGAGATTTATTGAGCACTTACTATGTGCCAGGCACTGCACTACACCCTTTACATGAATGAAGTCTAACCTGCAAAAAAATGGGACTGTTTGTCACAAACATTTAGCTAATAATAAACTTAGTCCTTGACATTGGAAAAATCCATTCAAAAGATGATCATTCCTAAAACTGTTAGTGATGGTTGGGTAGTTTTCACAAAGGAAGCTAAAGTTAAGACATGTTCTAGCTGTGAGTCTTGATAATGAAAATGTTAATGGAAAAAATAAATAGAAAGAGCAGAAATGCACAAACCCTAGAAAATTCTTCATCTGAAAGTTAGCCCTTTACTGAGTATTTTATTTGTTGGAACAGCAAGATAGTTTTAGCCTGTATGCCCTGGAGCTCCCAGGAATGATAAAGCTGAATTTAGCTGTTTGATATTTTGTCACCTATGTCCATTTTCCTTAATAATATTTACATATAAAACCTGTGAAAGTAACTTGGTGTGTTTCTTATTTGTTTTAGCGCTGGAATATCCCAACCTTGATATATCAGAAACAACCAGAGACTATTGGGTAATTACAGGTAATCTCTTTCACTCCCTCTTTCCCCCTATCAGTTTGTGTTTTTTTTTTTCAAACAGCATGTCAAAAGAAACCCCAAAACTAAAAATTAATAATTGTTATAATAATTAAAACTGCATGCCATTCAGTGATAGGATCAGCATCTTTCCTTTGGTCCTGTCCTTAATTCCATAGGACCAGAAGTGGGTAAAGTCAGCTAAGAAAAGATACCACTGAAGGTGAATCTTAGATAACCATTCAAAACAGCCACCTGTAAAGTCCATGGCCTCCTCTTTGCAAAAAGTAGATCAATCTGAAGGTGTGGCGGCGACCTGTGGATATCTAGGGTATGTCCATGGGATTGGTGATTTATTTAACGATGGTAGGCTTTTCTGCACTGCCCTACAAAACCCCAGTGAAAGGCAGAGGAATGCTGGGCATGCACTTTTCTCTCTCCCCTGGCACACACCCCACACCTACACTAATCCTGGTGGAGCCCAGGCGTGTCCTGACAGTGAGGGCAGATGGAAGTAGAAGGGTGGTTCGGTGACATTCTCTTTTTTTTTTTCCTTGACATTTCCCAGCTGAGCTTTATGAAACAGCAAAAAAGTTCTTGTTTGTGTTTTTCCAAAGCCAGAAAGTGGCTCTGAAAATCTTAGAGAAGCAAGGGTTGGGAGCAAAGAGAGAAGACAGATGTTGATGGAAGAAGTGACCAGCCCAGCTGAACATGGAAGGGTGGAGGGGGAGTGGAAGGGATGAGCGTGGTGGGGCTGCCATAACAAACACCACAGACTTTGGAGGCTTCGGCAGTAGGAATTTATTTTCCCATATTTCTAGAGGCTGGGAAGGCTGACATCCAAGTGTCAGCAGGGTTGGTTTCTTCTGAAACCTCTCTCATTGGCTTGTAGATAGCTATCTTTCCTTTACGTCTTTTCTCTATATGTCTGTGTCCTAAACTCCTCCTCTTATAAGGACACCCATCATATTGGACTAGGGCCCCCATGTGATCTGATTTTACCCTAACTACCTCTTTTAGGGCCTCATCTCCAAATACAGTCCCATTCTGAGGTATGGGGGGGTTAGGACTTGAACATAGGAATTTTGGGAAGATATAAGTCAGCCCAAAGCAAAGAGAGAGGAGGATCCTACAAGTCATGGAAGATGTGCCTGGGCAAGCCTGTCTGAAACCTCCCTCTTTTCTTCCCTGCCCCATCCCCTCCCTCACATGCTGTCCCAAACAAACAGTAGCGGGGCTGCTGCCTGGAATCCTAACAAAGGAGCACACACTCCTGCTCAATGAGGCTTGCTCAAGACCTCTCTGAAATTGCAGAAAATCGCATTTTTTTCTCCCCCACCGAGCCATGGATATGCAGAGATGATTTTTACCTGCTAGAAAGACAAACTAAAGAAATGCGTTTTAAAAGAAAAAACAGGGGGCCTCAGTGGCTCAGTCAGTTAAGCATCTGACTCTTGGTTTTGGCTCAGATCATGATCTCAGGGTTGTGAGATCGAGCCCCATGTCAGGCTCCATGCTGGGTATGGATCCTGTTTGAGGGTCTCTCTCCTACTTCCTCTGCTCCCACTTATGCTCTCTCTCTCTAAAAAAAGAAGGAAAGAAAAAAAAATCAGAGTTTATGCCCAAGAGGGAAATGATACTAACCCAGCAATGCTTTTTTTTTAAAAAAAAAAAAAGATTTTATACATTTATTTGAGAGAGAGAGAGCACACACAAGGAGGAGGTAGGGACAGAGGGGTGGGAGAAGCAGGCCCCCCCCCAAACTGCTGAGCAGGGGTGGGATGTGCGACTTGATCCCAGGACCCCGAGATCATGACCCGATCTGAAGGCAGACACTTAATCAGCTGAGCCACCCAGGCGCTCAGCAATGCATTTTTGAACCAGCAGGTTATGTAACACTTCCAGAATCATGTCTCCACCACCAGGAATGCTGCTTTTGAAGTTGCAGATGTCTCTCCTTCTATTAACGTAAGGTTTACATTAAATGGTAACGCATCTGCCCTTAAACACGGGCTGTCTCGACAACCTCCTGTCTCATCCTTTCCCGAGTACCTGGATCTTGCCCTGCTTCTTGTTTTAGTAGCATAACCTTCAGAAAATCATGCTGGGACTCCAGCCCTTGCCCGCCCCCACCCACCCCCACCTACCCCTACCCACCCCTGCCTGTGTAACTCATTTGCTTATGTTGTTGCTCTTCCAGCTGCTGGTCATCAGAATAAACAAGGGCCCCTGTCAGTGTGTTTGGGGCTAGTTACTCAGGTAGTGCCAGTGGGAGGGGCGAGAACCAATGTCAGTGTGACCCTCCTTCCTTCCCTTTGGCTCAGGTCCCACTCTCTCCACTCATGTACAGCCACCACCGGCTTTTGACCATAATTCACAGAAGGGGTAGGAGATTGGAAAGCGAAATGAAAATAGCTTTGTTCATCCGGCTCAGAGGCACAGGTCCTTGACACCACTCTGCCCTTCTCTCCCAGATACCCATCACGGGCACTCTGTCGTCTGCTCCTTGCCAACAGCTCAAAGGATGGGGGGTAACTTTTCCTTTCTGTAGTTGATATTATGAAACCGTGACATATTTATACCTGCTTTCCCACTAAACTTATATTAACTATGTTTTGAGGTGTCTGGGTGGCTCAGTCGGGTAAGCACCCAACTCTTGGTTTTGGCTCAGGTCGTGATCTCAGGGTCCTAAGATTGAGCCCTGTGTCTTGCTCTCTCTCAGCACGAAGTCTGTTTGGGGTTCTCGCCCCCCCCCCTTCCCCTGCTCATACTCTCTTTAAGATAAATAAATAAATAAAATCTTTTAAAATACTTCTCCCCTCCTCCCTGAGCCTGGATCCCTCATTGGTGGAAATACTGTGGCTTCGTTAGGGTGATTCCTGCAGCCCCCTCTGCTGGCCACAGATCCTGTGGTGAGGGTTGGGTATACAAGGCAGGATAGAGACACTCAGACTTAATATTGCTGCCTCAGACAGATCACAGCCCACCTTAGGTTTTTGTGTGTGTTTTTTTAAAGATTTTTATTTATTTATTCATGAGACACAGAGAGGCAGAGACATAGGCAGAGGGAGAAGCAGGCTCCATGCAGAGAGCCCGATGTGGGACTCGATCCCAGGTCTCCAGGATCAGGCCCTGGGCTGAAGGCGGCTCTAAACCGCTGAGCCACCCGGGCTGCCCCCACCTTGGGTTTTTCCACTTGTCTTTACTGCACCACCAGGGTGAAAATATCCCAGATCCAGCAGTCTCAGGATTTCTTCTGGTCTCAGCCCCGCTGCTGCTAGCCTAGTGTGTCCTTGGGCAAGTCACTCAGGCCCTCTGGAGGTCGTGCTGTCACCTGTGGAATGAGGACAAGATAGGAGATAAGCATTCTGGTTCTTTTGGCTCTGCGTGTATGGGATTCAATGACACATAAAACAATTCAGCTTCTGCATAAGAAGCTGAACCAGGCCAAACCGGCTGTTGGAATTTTATTGCTCAGGGCAATTGTAAATAAAGAAGGAGTGAGAGACCAGTGATGTAACAGCCACCGAATCTTCTGGAGAGCTCCTATGGATGCAGCTGGGGACTGCCCGCCTCCTGTTAGCTGAGTCAGTGGTGGCAAAGGGTGGATGGCCAGGGCCCTGGCTGATGGGCCAAAGGACTGCTGTCTTCCTAGGCACTTAGGCCAGGGTCCAAGCTCCCCTACTGCTTCAGGGTCGCTTAGGGAGATGCATGCCCCTTTCTAGTCCCTTCTAGGTGGGCAGAGAGGGCTGAGAGCCTGCGGCCTGCTACGCTTCTCAGGGGAAAGGAAGGGAGCCACAATTCCTGGAACACAGTTATTTCTTCCTCTGGGAAAAATGTGTCTAACAAAGAAGCACATTTGATCAACAGCAGCAGCTAGCATTTATGGGCATCCTCCAAAGGGCCTTGTAGCACTATGCTCAAGCCTTTTTTTTAAAAAAAATAAAGTATCTGTTCTCTACAACACCATCAGGAGTAGATTATGATAACCCAGACCCCTGGCTCCAACCCCCAGACCTTCTGGAGCTGCCTCCCAGTGGGACACCTGCTCTTGGCAAACAGAGCAGTGAGCCATGTGGACACTGCCCAGTTGGAGGTTCCATATAACCCTGTGGGATGTTCCCGCAGCTTCTTACACTTCCCGGAAGGCTGTGGTTTGGTTTGGTTTTTGTTTTCCCTCAATTTAAAAACTTGGGATGAAATACACATAACATGCAATTGACTGTTTTAACCATGTTTAACTGTGCAATTCAGTCGTGTTAAGTACATTCACAGTGTTGTGTGGCCATCACAACTACCTATTTCTGGAACTTTTTCATCACCTGGGAGCTTTGACTTTCCCTTTCTTTGATGTCTGCCCCAGAATCATCCCTGGGATTTGCGTAGAGTAACCCATGATGATGCCCTCGACTCCTGTATCTCTGGTAGACAGGAGAAGCCAACTTAGAAGTAATCTTTCAGGGGCACCTGGGTAGCTGAGCTGGCTAAGCATCCAACTCTTGATCTCAGCTCAGGTCTTGATCTCAGGGCTGGGAGTTCAAGCCCTGCATTAGGCTCCACGCTGGGTGTGGAGCTGGTTTTAAAAAGGAAAAAAAAAAAGTAATCCTTCAGCAGTGATTCTCTAATTTTACTAGAGGCACATCTTTGAAGCAGAGAGAACGCAGCTCTCCTCTCTGGGGCCAAGAGGTAGGCTGACCCTTCCTCAGCCTGACAGCTGCATCATGGGGGATTTTGAGGGGCCCCTCTGGGACCTGCCACGGAGAGAAGAGTGCAGAAGTGTCTTATCTTTGTTTGCAGGAATTCTGCTTGACAGATGATCTGGGAGTCCCTCCCAAGGGCCCTAGAAAGAGAGCTGCTTTTTGCCCTCCATGGGGATTATTTGGCATTTGTGGCTTCAAAGAAGTCATTTCTGAGACTCAACTGTGGGTTTTTATTTTTCTCTTGATCGGTTTCACCATCATGCTCTGTATCGCTGCCATCAGTAGCTTATTCTGGCCCTGTACAGAATGAGCTCATAACAGCAACATGTTCTTTACGTTCGGGCTATTTTCATATCCCCCTAGATGGGTGGTATTAGTGGCCCTTGGCTGGACTGTGGTAGAACAAATTCCGTTAAATGAAAAATCTTGGATTGCACACCCAGCCATTAAGTTTTTGTCTCTTTAAAAAGATGAGAATTTTTTTTAGCATTTTTGATCTCAGGACAGACTGTGTTTGGAGGCTGTGTTTGTGTATTTGGGGTGACATTTGTTTCCCAAGGGACTTGGAAGAAGGACTGGGCTTTGGGGGTAGATGGCAAAAGGACATGACTCCCATAGTAAGTGATCTTTCCAGTCCTGGCATGGCCCTGGTGTGTTCGTTGCGGTCCTCCTCCGTGCATGCACTAGCCATTGCCTACTCTTCCATCATGAATGCCTTACCTACCCAGATAGCCCTGGATATAGATGAGACACAGCAGTGGAGGAGGGCTGGAAAGAGGAGTTTCATTTATCTCCTACGCACCCGGCATTAGTGCTAAGCTGCTTGATACATCTGGTCTCATTTCAACCTTATAGCCCACAAGGAATAGATTTGCTGTGATGTAGACTTTCTTATTCTCTTTCTATAGAGAAGGATTTGGACTCAGGAAGGGCCAGTGGTTTGCCTGAAGTCTCACGACTGGCAAGTGCCAGCCCACTCTTTCTATTACACTGTCCTGCTCTTGAATGGGAGCGTACCTGAGAGGCTCTGGGCCACTTTAGGGGTGGGTCCCGAAAGGACCCCATGGAGGAGGGAAAAATGAGGACACTGGGCAGGGTGGCTTGTCTAGATGTGAGGAGCTGAGTTGCAGGATGGAGCTCAGATTCCTTAGCAAAGCTGCTGAGAAGTGAAAATGCAGTAAGGGTAGCCCTGAGCCGGGGCTTCTGAGCAGGAACCAGTGAAAGATCCGTGTAGTTGTACCTACGGCTGTGCTGTATTCCCACATGCTCTCTAACAACACATAACATCTTAATAAGGTTTGGATTAAATACAACAGCATCAGGCATGTCACAGCTTGTGGAGGAGAGAGCCCAGGCTTTAGAGTTACATAAACACGGGTTTAAACCCCAACTTTGCTGGTTATTAGCTGCATAACCTTAGGCGAGTCACATAACCTTTCAGCATCTATAACATGAGGACAGTGATTCCCTACTCCTGGGGCTATGGTCAGGGTAAAATGAGGCAAGGATGGCCAAGTCCTAGTATGAGGTAGGCCCAGGGCCCTCCATGGCTGGTGCAGGGCCGGTGGTGGTTGTGGTTTCTGAGTCTGCGGGGAATCTGTCCTCTGAGCAGCCCCTTTGCCTTCTGCATCCACAGTGCTACAGGGCGTGGACAACTCGCTGGTGGGCCTGCACAATCAGAGCTTCGCCCGGGTCATGGAGCAGCGCCTGGCACAGCTGTTCATGATGTCTCAGCAGCAAGGCCGGCGGTTTAAACGGGCCACCACCCTGGGGAGCTACACCGTGCAGGTGCGTGTGTGGCAAGTCACTGGGGTCTTCTGACAAATGTACGGGAGCGTCCTGAGACTACAGTAAGCCATGCCGTGTGCAGAGGAGCATTTAATCAACACTCCTCTTAGGTTTGGGGGGTTCGTGGTCACGACCATCAAAATCATGGAGGAGGGTGACAGTGAGCTACTCTCCTGACTATCTTGCTACTAGACTCCAAAGTTTCAGAACAGATTCTGTACACGTGCACATGCTTACTAAACAGAAGTTATTAGTAAGCACGCACAGACTGACTACTCCCCAACCTGTTCTGGAGACTGGATGAAGTCCCAGAGCTTAGGGCCTTTGGGCCTCTTGCCACCGCTACTGTGGATGGCAGGCACACCAATCAGGTTCCCAGGTGCAGGACGCTGTTATCCTTAATTAGTCAGCTTCAACAAAACAGGGCCCTGCATGTGCGTAATGGGCAGGTGACCACCCAGGGATTTCGGCGGGGGAGCTGTAGCAGACATTACTGGTGCCCTGCCCAGAGCCCCTTCCCCTTTCTGTCAAATGCCAGTGGGCTTCCAACAGCCACTGCTGAACCTTTCTTTCTTGAAGGGCTGCTCTTGGGATGCCAGAATCCACTCTGTCCCTGCCAGGGCTGGCTGGAAGTGCCTGGGAATTAGTGAGTGGTAGGGGTGTGCACACCACAGCGCTCTTGCTTCATGGCTTTGGGAGTTCTGAGACATGTGCTTTCAGTAATTGCTAGAGCTTTCCCATAGAATTAAGCTTTAGCTACCCACTGTGCTAACTAGATTAGTAACATGCCTCTCGCTAGTCCGTTCCACCCCCTGTCTCCTCTCCTGTCTGTCCCTGGTACCTCCCGAATAATCTCCAAGCACGCAACTCAACTCGGAGTCTGCTTCAAAGGGATCCTGGCAGACACAATGGCCATCCTCAAGGTAGAGGCTCCAAGCTGCTTTAGATTCTTTACTCAATTCAAGCAAGAGTGGGGGCATCTCTAGCATATTCCAGCCAATCCACATATCCTGAATACCACTCATTTCACCAAAACTGAGAACCCCCGTAGGTAATATTTGTTATGCTAATTAACAAAGCTCTATTGAGCAAGATGTCAAAGTACAGAAGCCCTCCTGGTAGCTGCCTCCTGAGTGCGGGCTTCCTAATTGGAATCTAGCACACTGCCCCTGCGGTGTAAACTGTCCGTTTGGCAATTGCCACATCTAGGGTGTAACTTAACCCAGACACACAGGCTTGATATCACAGTGTCTAAGAGGAAGCATTTTAAAGGAAATTATAGGCATTACTCCAAGCTGTCTGCAGATTGTGTCCCCAGGCAATTTTGAAAGTACACACAACCCATTTTCTGGAACACACTTCCCTGCCTCAGTCAAGCATCCTGCCCTTGAGGGAGTACTTGAGATCCTCCATTCACAGTTGGTGAATCTGGCCCCATGTCCCAGTCTGGCCCTTAGTAGATGTTTGCTTTCATTCTAAGTCTTTATGGTTGGTGACAACCTGTGACCAGGTAAAGCCATAGTTAATTTCTTGTGCCAGGTTTATGATTTACCTCACTGGGGTCTATGTGAGCCCTAAAATCCACTTCTCCAACTATCAGAAAGGAAGCTGTTGAGACTCAGATAGTAAAATGGGATTTGCCTCAGCTGAAGAAAAAGAACAACCCTATAATCCTGATGTTATTGTACATTTCTTGTAAACCGAAGAAATCTAACACATTCTACACGTCTAAAAGAGCCCAGCGAGATGGTCTTCCCTCATTTCTTTTGAGTTCTCTAATGTACTTGGCCCCATAGCTACCTGGAAAGTCTGAGTGGAGTAAGTAAGGATTTATTTCTGCAAATCATTAGTTTATAGAGGCTGTAGATCGTCTTCTAACATCGTCCTTGGAGAAATCTTGGTAACAAGAATTCGCTATGAATTGAAATTGAGTGAAGTTATTAAATATCTGAATGCCCATTTACCTTCAACCTGGTTATACTAACACTAGCCTTACCTCCTGTCCCGGGAGGGACTGGAATGACATGCCCAAATTTCCCAAATAAAATTCACTCTGCGGAATTTATATCATGCTTCTACCCAGTGGCCTTTCTTCTGGGCTTAGATAATTTTAAAAGATGAGCCACTTTCATGAATATGGAAATGTATATTCTAGAATTCAAAGATATTTCTCTAGTGACTATATCTGAAAAATTGAGTCTGAAGAAGAAATCCATATGACCAGTCAACATTTTTAAATGTTTAGCTCCATTTGCCACAAAAGTGATGCAAATTTTAACTACCACAAATTATCATTTTCACCTACCAAAGATGTATAATGGCATCATCCAGTGTTGGCAAGGATGTGATGAAATGGGCACTTTCAAACATGGTATGACCTCTGCAGATGGCCAATGAGCAATTTAGACAAGAACCTCCTAGATGGTCACAATCTTACTCCTGGAAATTCACTTTGAGGAGATAGAGGTGAACACAAAGACAAGACAGTGGAGCAGAGTTTCTCAGAGAGTGTCCAGAAATGATCCCACAAGGTGCCCTGGGGCAAAGGGGGTCCATGGCCATATCCATTTGGGCAAGGCTTCATTCTGTAGCCCCTACCTGAAGATCCCCAAGGCCTTTTGGCATACTGAAGACTCTTAAAAAGACCTGCAGTAAAGAAATTCCTTAATTTTGTCCAGCTACAAGGTCGTATATTGCCAGTAAGAGCCTTATTTTTAGTAATACCTGTTTCTCCAACATTTTGTTATGAACACTTTTAAACTCACACAAAAATTATGTAGTGAACACCAATAACCTCACCATCTAGGTGCTACAGTTAACGGTGTACTTACTATTTTATATTCGGTAACATATTCATTTCCATGCCACGAATCCATTTGCACTGTTCTAGAACTTCATATACATAAATATATTCTCTTTTGTATAAAGCTTTTTTGGCTCAATGTAGTGTTTCTTAGGTTCATCATGTGTTATTTGGGAGTGTATTCCTTTGTATTGCTGAGTAATATCCCCTTGTATGAATATACTACAGTTTACCCATTTTTCTATTGAGAGATCACCAGACTTTTTCCATTTTTCAACTATCATAAACAAAGCTGCTATGCACATTCTTCTACAGGTCTTTCTACGGCCGTATATTTTCATTTCTCTTGAGTGTGTAGGAGTGGAATTGCTGGTTCATAGGGTTGGTGTATGTTAGCTCTGTGAGAAACTGCTAGACCTTTTCCCAAAGTTTGCCATTTTCCACTCCCACCAACCAGATGTAGACTTCCAGCTATTCCTCATGTTCACCAGCACTTTGTATTGTTGGCCCTTATTTCAGTCACTCTGCTGGGTGATAGCAGTGTCTTATGGTTTTGCCTTTCATTTCCCCATTGAGCATTTTGTATATGCTTGTTGACTATTCAGATACCTTCCTTTGTGATGTGTCTGGCCAGATTTCTTTAAACCCATTTTTTATTGGGTTGTAGTAATAACTGTTTTAAATTATGTAGAGCATACATACACAGGAGTATAAAGTCATGCAGATCTCAGAGAACAGTAATAAAAGGAAGCCACAGCCCAAAGCATAAGAACATTCCCCTTACCTTATCCCTAAAGGCTTTTATGTGTCTTCTCTAGTTCTATACACACTCCCTTCCTTCCTATCCAGGTTGAGTTTGCTTCTGAATTTTGTTTTAAGCCATGCCTGTATTTTCTGTGTAGATTTTACCATCCATGTGTGTCTCCCTGAACGGTTTATATTCTGTGATTTTTTTTCTTTTGCTCATTATCAGGATTTTTTTTTCATTATCAGGATTTTGTATTCACCCACATTGATACAAATACCAGTAGTTTATTTATACTACCCTATACTACTTCGTTGTGTAGTACCGTAATGTACTAATCCATTCTACTGTTATTAGTGACTTTTGAATTTCCAGGGTTTTTTGCTGTTGTGACCAATATTGCTGTAAACATTTCTGTAGTATCTTTTAATGTCCTATGAAGCTTGCAATCTGTTATACACACTTTAGAAAATACTATACTATAATGTTTATCAGTTGTTAATTATAGTTGAAACTTGATAACAAACTAACCGTTCAAAAATGAAGTGTTGAGTTTATGAGGCATGCCGGTAGTAGAACATTATGTAGATATAAAAATTTATGTTTTATGTATTTATAATGATGATCAATTAACTACAATACTAAAAAATGAGTAACAATTGAAGTGTTTGACAAAAAGTGATTTGCTAAATAAGTTTATGAGGTGTGCATTGGAATGCTGTGTTGAAATGAACATTTATGCTTTTGTTACATTTATAGTCCTTTAAGAATGCAAGTAAAAATAGCAATGTGTGATTTTCATATAAAGAATATTATAAATAATTTTGTGGAATAATAAATAAAAGGTTTGTGTGGAAAAAAGCAAAGAATGGAAGCAAATGCTCCAAAATAATAGTAATTTGCTTGCGGTGGAGAGATTACAAATTGTTTTTATTCTATTTCATTTGTTGATGCTTTTCTTTTCTGTTTTCAAATTCTCTGTAGTGACTATGTATATAACTGGTACAGGGAGAAAAAGCAACAAAGGTTATTTTAGAAAAAGAACTTTGAGTCTCCCAAGTACTGCTTTTATCAGAGATCTTTTGAATTGCAGACATATAAGTTCATTTTTTTCCCCTTCTCTGGCAATAGCAGGAGTTTGAAATTAGACATCTTGTTTGAGAATAACCTAACATGCCCTGAATTAATGTGCAGGCCTATTTCCAAATGAGGCCAGAGTTCTCTGGAGGCTGGAAGACATCACCATTTCAGCGTTTTCTTCTCCAGTCTCAAGCTGTTCTTTCCAGATGTTCATATTTTCAATCTTTTTCTCCTCCTTGTCTCCCCCTCCAGCAATAGCAGGGCTTCTCATGATGCTGGCATTAGGGAGGTACACGAAGGTTGATATCTAAAATATACCTTGTCCCCTCTACACTGAGACTTAAGACATTGCTCATATTGTATATTTTGGCTTGAGTATAGATCAGTGTAAACTTGGAGAGATTTTTCTATCATGTAGAGTAGGTATTTTTTATAGATTGAGGGTTGATCAATTTTTTAATACTTCCAAGGGAGAAAACTATCCATGTATAAACATATATATATATATATATATATATATATATATATATATATGTTTGATAATAAATATTGGGACTCTTCTTTCATGCTCCCCCCCCCCAAAAAAAGAAAAGAAATGAAATGAAATAAAATAAAATAAAATAAAATGAGATGAAACAAAACTAGACTAAACTAAATTAAATTAAATAAATGTTGTGGGTCCACTTAGCCATGGAAGTCTTCAGCAAAGGAGAAAGAGCCTGCTGATTGCCAAGATGATTGCATGGTGCAAGCTGCCCTGTAAACATGGCCTCTCTTTTTCTGAAAGATGGTAAAGATGCAGCGGGTGCCGGGACCCAAGGACCCAGCGGAGCTGACTTACTATACCCTGTACAATGGGAAGCCTTTGCTGGGGACTGCAGCTGCCAAGATCCTGAGCACCATTGACTCCCAGAGGATGGCCTTGACTCTGCATCATGTGGTCCTTCTGCAAGCTGACCGTAAGGGGATAGTCTTTGCATTCATTATTTTTAACGCCCTTTAATGTTCCCTGCAAATTTAAGTGATTCCCCAAACTCACATTAATGGACCCAGAGCGAAACATAAAGGTTCTTAAATCAGTCAGCTATTTCCTGTGTTGTTTGAAGCTGTAGGCTTTGGGTAAGGGATATGTTTTGGATATTAGGATGATGATAATGATGTTGCTTTGCCCCCCAAGACCTATGCACTCTTTCTCCTTATTAGTCCAGTGAACAGCTGGAAAAATCACCATGGGTGAGATGATATTGTCTGCTGGGGAATTAAAGATAATTTAATTCACTAAACTTTATGGAGTGCTGCATGAACTGTGCTCAGTGTTGGTGGACATACAGAAATGGGCAAGACGTGGTCACTGCCTTTAAGAAGAAGAGACATTAATAATGCAAATACAAAGGAGCGGAATGCAGGAAAGTGCAGGGAGGAGGCCAAGTGATCCAGGACTCAGTGGAGGGACAGTCTGCTCTGAAGTGTCACCCAGAAAAAATGAACAGAGAAGGAGTATGAAAAACAATAGTTGCCTCCTCTGTGGCAGGTATGATGCTTGTTGCCTTACAGAGATTTCCTCACCTTTGCCTCTCACTAAGGTACCTTTCTCCACCTGCAGATTCCAGGCGAGGAAATGTAGGCTCAGGAAAGTTAACAAACTTGCTCACCATCAGAGAACCGGTACTTAGGTCACCAAGATATGAATCTGGGTCTATCTGACCTCAAACATGTGTTTTCAACTGTGTTGCATGCTTAGATTTCAGCAGGAGAGGAGGAAGGGTGTGTATTCCAGAAAGAGGGAGCCACAGGAGCAGAGGTAGGGAGGTGAGAAGTGGCAGGCAGGCTTGAAAAACAAGGAGTCCGAGTCGCCTGGACAGCAGAAACGTGAGGAAGAGTCGATGAGCTCAGAAAGATATATTGCTTTGGAGACTGAGGCCTTGGGTGACGGGAGAAGGACACTGTGCATGATACGATAGGCTGTGGGGAGCTGTTGAGGACTTTGGTGCAGGGGCATGGTGTCATTAGAACTACCCCGTATTTAGGGACATTAACCTGTCAGTGGTGTCCAGGATGAGAGGAGCAGGACTAGTGAGGAGGCTCTGTGGTGGCTTAGGTGCTGGGGACCCAGATGAGGTCTATAAAGAAAATGAGGTGGGGGTGGTGATGAAGGTGAGAGACTATGTGGTAGACATTTTAGATTTGGCAGCCTGCTGAGCATCCAGGCATGGAAGGTCATCATCTCCCATTGACTTCCTAGCTGGTGTGCTATTCCTTAAAAAACCTGACATTTGGCTCATGGTTTTCATCTTCTACTCATCTCTTGCCTTCCTCCAGGGCAAGTGTGGCTTCCATGTTGATGCAGATTCACTTCTTGGCTTGCATGTCCTCACAGATGCATCTTTGCCTACCAGTGATGGCTACCCTGTGCAATCTCAGCTCCGAAATGACGTTTCTAACCCAGAGTTTCTTCTTTTGTGCCTCTCTCCTTCCCTCCCTGTAGGCTCCATCCCCATGTCTGGTCAGGTCAACTACTGGCTTCATTGGTTTTGCTGCATCTTCTTTATGTGAGTTCCCCAGGGTTCCATTCTCAGCTCTTTCTCCCTCCTAGTAGAGAATGAATTGCAGAGGGCAGGACTGAAAACCGTGGCAGGTGTCCAGGTGAAAGGTGAAGGTGTTAGAGAGAAATGGATGGATTTGAGACCTTTTTGGGGACAGAGCCAATGGGGCAAGATAATGGGTTCTGTGTGTGGCCAGAGGAGGTGAGGGTCAGAGGAATAAGCTCGACTCCTAGGTGTTTGCTTCAGTACTGCTTGTGGCATAATTTGTTGAGAGGCGGGAGAGAGTTTTGTTTTTTTTTTTTTTTTTTGGAGCTGGAGCAAGAGTGGGAGGATGGAATTGAGAGTTTGGTTTGGACATGATAGGGTTGAGATGTCTAGCAGACATCCTCACAGGTTAGCCATGAGCATAGCTTGGCAATCCACAGGAGGGAAGAGTTAGAGCCTACAAAAGACACTGAGAAGGAGCAGCCAGGGAGATGGGAGGAAGCCCAGGAGAGAGTAGGACTTAGAAATTAGCAAAGAAAGGAATGTCCTGTAAGGAAGTGAGCTACTATGTCAACTTGTATTTTTTTTTAAGATTTTATTTTTTTATTCACGCATGCAAGAGAGGCAAAGTCATAGGCAGAGGGAGAAGCAGGCTCCCTGTAGGGAGCCTGATGCAGGACTCGATCCTAGAACCCAGAGATCACAACCTGAGGCAAAGGCAGATGCTCAACCACTGAGCCACCCAGGTGCCCTGTGTCAACTTCTATTCTTGAGAGGCAGTGTACTTACTATAAGGACAGAGGTTAACTGGATTTGACAAAATGGAGATGATTGGTGACCTTGGCAGGAGTGGTTTCCAGGCAGAGGTGGTGGAGATGTTTGGCTAGAGTGGATTGAGGAGGACGGGGTGGGGAAGTAGTGACAACAAAGAGGAGAAGATTAATGGTGCCCTTACTGGAGAGGCACAGGGAGATCTTGGAGGATGGTTGAATATTGATGTGTTACTGTAATAGGGAGAAACAGTGCAGAAGAGAGACAAGAACTGTCTTGGAGCGAAGTCCTTAAGTGGACAAGGCAGTGGCACAAGTGGAGGGGTCAGATTCAGTGAGGAGCAGCGACAGTTCATCCTTTGCACTGGGAGCGAAAGCAAAATCCAGGGCCGTGGGTGCCAGTTAGGCAGTCCATTTGGTAATGGAAGCCCAAGGACATTTCCTGTGATTATTTCTACTCTCTTGGGACAGAAGGAGGTGAGGTTGGCAGCTGAAGCTGAGGTTGTGTGTGGGGAGCTTGGGCAAGGGTGGGACAGTACACACTGAGGATCTGCAGACTGATCAGAGAAATGCTGTAAGATTGGCAGGGCTTCCCTCCTCTACAGGCTCCACTGCTATGTCCATGCCAGTTCATCTATTATTTCAGATCCCAGATCCTCTGAAGCTGCCTCCCCCTCACTGTAGTCACCTCTAGACCCCCAGAGGTCCTCCATAACTCACTGGAGATTTAAACCCAGCTCATTGTCTCTTTCTCTCCATCGCTTCTCCTGTCCCCAGTCCATCCTTGATGCTGATGGGTCAGTCAGTCCCATGACCTCTTCACTTCCAGGCCTTGTGGTACTTGGGAAAGGGGCAGGAGGGGAGCTGGTTATATTTAGAACAAGAAGTGAATGGAGCATCAGGAGGAGAGTTTGAGGCAAGGGGACTTTGCCTATGGTGGTTGATGGGGAACCGTGGAAAGTTGGAGAGCATGGGCAGTAGAGACCAATCATGTCAGATTAGGAAATACATAGAGCTTTCTGGAAATGAGAGTCTGGGGATCACCTGCCTGCAGAGCTGCTGTCCCTCAATGGCATTTCTTTGTTGCCTTCACAGCCACCTGGACCTCCTCCTGTGATAACTCACAAATGATGTGTTTCCCTTTCTCCATTTCATTGTCGTCTCTTCTTGGACTTTGCGAGTCCTTCCCAAATGACTCAACCTCCATCACTCTGCCATTAACATACTGTCCACACTGTAATTAGAGTCATCAGAATACACGATTCTGATCTCATATCTACTCCATTCACAGAATATTTGGTGGCTCTTCATTGTTCACAGAATAAAAGCCGAACTTCTTAGAGCGGACCTTCCAAGCCCTTCACAACAAAAGGCTCAGGTCCCTTCACAGCCTAGTCCCATATTGCCTGTTCCACCCATACAGCCTGTTTTTCTCTCCTTCCTACCTGGTGCTTCAGCCACACAGGGGGATCCATTCTTCACATTCCCTGGTTCTCTGAAGCCACCCCTGACCGTTTCCCTTAGTTCCAGATGATTCCACGGCCCTTACCACAGGTGGCAAACAAGTTGTTTTTGCTCCCTGTCCCTTGTGAGCTCTCCAAAAGTACGTGCCACATCTCATTCATCTTTGAATATCCAGCCCAGCTACTGCCTGGCTCTGTTCTGTGAGGGCAAAGGGCTGACTTTAGCTATCTGCCTCTGCCAGGCCCTGCGTAAGGCACATGACTGGAAGACACCACAGCAGAGCAGTTGAGTCTCTGCAACATAATCGTCCTGGATTCATGCCCCTGCTCCTCCACTCTCTAGCTCTGGAACTCTGGGACAAAAAATGACCTTCCCTGACCTGCATTTTCTGCACCTGTAGAAAGGGAAGATAAAGAACACTGACCTTCTAGAGCTACTTGGAGGAGGAAGCAAGTTAATTATTGCTCATGAAGGGCTTAGTACACTCCCTGAGCACCTGTTGGAGGCTTGGTAAGTGGTAGCTGAATGTCTCATGGATACCTTATGGATCCAAGTGGACTAGTCTACAGTTGGGACTAGAGGAGAGAGGGAATGAAGAAGGAAAGGTGACTTAAAGTTTAAGAACTCATATAATTCAGAGATTAACGTGCTAGTAATGAAAATAGGAAGGGGGTTGGAGAGGAGAAGCATTTTTAGAAGGGAGAAGGTACTTTATTCAGTTTTTTTTTTTTTTTTAATAATCTTTATTCAGTTTTGGCCATGTTGAGTTCAAGGTGATGAAATATCTGATGATGATCAGATACTGAGGGGCAGTGACAGGATATTGAGGGGGTGTTTTTTGCAGACATCCAGGGGTGCTATTGGGACATAGAGGGGGTCCTGTTGGAACATTGGTGGTGCTATTGGGATATGGAGGTCTGAGTTTAGGAAAGTTGTGGGAATTCAAGCCTACATCTCAGGAGAGAGGTTAAAGTTAACACCACAGGTTTGGGAATGTTGTAGATACAGGTTAGAAATAAACTCCTGGAGACAATTCGAGGGTCTGGGGATGGTGTAGAGCTAAAGGACAGACCCTGGGAAATTCCTCCATGCTCAGGATCAGATGAAGAGGAAGCTAGGACCATTGAAGAAGAGGAGCAGAAATGTTTTAAATCTCATTTTCTCTGAATAGTTTCAAAATCAGCCAGCAACATGAACCCAACATCAATCAGCCCTTCCATGGAGAATCATGGTGTTGAACGAACACCTTGTTTCTCTGAAGGGAGAGTGTTAATGTTCGGTGTGTTCCAGTGTCTTCTAAATCACTAGGGCCAAAAAAAAATAATAATAATAAAAAAAAATAAATCACTAGGGCCAATGTGTAGTGCCCTGTGATGGGACATGCTATGCCCCCTGAACCTCTGTTACCTCTGAGTAATGGGCGGCAGTGGCCGCTACAGAAGTGGCCGTGTTTCGCATGGAGGTTTACACCTGCTCCATGTGCCGGATCTGGACAGAACCACAGCCGCTGGAGTAGGGAAGATTCTCCCCACACTGAAGCTGACCAGAGAGGGAATTGTTTGGCCTTACCTGGCCGTCAGATGTTATTGCAAGAAATGCCACTTTAAGAAAGTGATAGACTGATCCTGTGGCGAAGGGGATTTGTGTTCATTCATTCTTTTGGTAAATATTTTTGAGAACCTACTATGTGCCTGGCACTCTCCTGGCACTGGAGATATAGCAGTGAATGAAGCAGACAAAACCCCTGCCCTCACGGAGCTTACATTCCTGAGTGGGCAGATCAAATAAGCAAAATAAGTAAATAAAATGTTCAAAGCAATAAGGGCCATGGAGAAAAACAGGAAGGCCAGCAGGTATCAAGGACATAAGTGTCATAATTTTAAATGTTTGTGAGGTTAAAAAGAAGATCAGTGAGTTACCACCTGAGGCTACCTAAGGACAAGGTTCCCAAGAGTGGGAGGGTTTGAGACCCAATGAGGGTGTCACTAATAGAAGAGAGTAGCAGCCATGAGGTCAGGGTGCAGATGAGGACCACAATTACTAGAGCCCCAAGGGCCACACCTGAAGTGGAATGAGAGCCATGGACAGAAATGTCTGGGCAGGAGAGTGACTAAGCACTCACAGTGACTGGGCCCTGGGCTAGACCCTTCCCTGCACACACATGCACACACACACACACACACACACACCTCCATTTCAATGTAGAACTGACAAGCTGTGTATTTCAAAGAGATGACTTTTCATAAAAACGTCTGACCTCCCTGGAGCTCTGCCTCCTCATCTGCAAACTGAGAGTAAGAATAATAGCACCTGCATATCACAGTGCCTCACACACAGCAGAAGCTCAGAACATGTTGTCCCCCTTTCTTATCCTTTCTCCATTCAAGGTCTTGCAAATTAAATAGCCATTCATGCCTCTTCACTTCTGTACATGACCTTGTGGTTTTAGATCACTATGCCAGTGAATACACTGGGTTTGAATGATTTCAGTTGACCTAACTTTACTATCTCTTTGACTGTTAAATGAATTCACGAATGTACATACAATAAATGTATTGTCTTTCCCTTTAAATCCAGGTGAAAGGATTTTACATTCTGCACCAAGAAGGAACATATACACCAAAGCCATAAAGCCAAGTAAAAGCAGAACTCATGTAAATAATGACTCTTGCTAGTGAAATATGTATTTAAGGTATCATGTTCTGATACACTACACATTTTTCTTCATCAGGAGAGAATAGCATAGCCAAAAGAGGCATATTGTTATTTTTCATGGAAACCCTAAGCTTTAAAAGACGTTAATGGCATCAAACTCACATGTAAATACCAAATTGCTAAAAGCAGTAGCAATTAAATGTTTGATGTCAACAGAAGCACATTATCTAATGAGCTGTTTTCAGAAGTTAATAATGTGATTAATCACCAATTGATGAAAAACTCTGGAAAAGAAGGGTTTTTTTTTTTTTTGATACTAAAGAACTCCACATCCAAGTGCTGCTGGGTGAGAGGCAGATCTCTGCTGATGCGGGACCACTTGAAGTCAGAGAGGGTGGTTGAAGTCAAAGAAAAAGAGCAGTGGACTCATCATGTGTCACTTACCATGGGGTCTCCTAAAAAATTCCAGACTCTTGCCCTCAGCTTTGTGGGTCTAGTAGCCCTCAGAGTTTAGCAGGATTAGGAGGACCAACTTATGCTATGCAGACTTATGAAAGACTGATATACAAATCAGATTGATAGTATATTAACTTAAAATACAGACTAGAACTACCAAAGAGATGAGATTTCTCTCCGCCATGTGGAGACCTATATGGGGAACCAAATTGCAATAGGGATAATGGTAATTCCTTTATACATTCATTCAGCTTTTAATTGAACACCTACTATGTGCAAGGCCCTGTTCTGGGCCCTGGGAGTGTAGCAGTGAACAAGAAACCCGAAAAAACCCCTCCCTGCTCTCTTGGAGTGTACATTTTAATGGAGAGGCAGAGACAGATGATGAGGAAATACAAATGTATCGTGTCAGACACTAATGTGTGCTTTAGAGCCTTACCATTCCATGTGTGGCCTGAGTGCCTGCTGCATGAACGCCACCTGGGAGCTTGTTAGAAAGGCAGAGTCTCAAGCCTTGCACCAATTCACAGAATCCAAATCATACATTTGAACAAGATTTCCAGGTGATTGGTGTACACAAGTTTGAGAGGCACTGCTTTAGAGAAAAACCAAGATGAGGAAGATGGAGAATGTCAGGGGCAGGGATTGCTCTCTCTTAAAGAGTAGATGTAGTGATACTAGTTTAGAGCCCTGAAAGAAGAAAAGGAGGGAGCCATGGATGTCTGGGTGAAGAGCACTCTAGGTGGACGAATAAGCTGGTGCAAAGGTCCTGAGACAGGAGCATGTCCAGCACATTAGAGGAACAGTAGCAGGCTGGTAGGCTGGAGCAGAGTGAATTAAGGGAGTCCAGTGGGCTCTAAGGGCAGAGAAGTAACTAGAGTGGTTGGAAAGGCAGATCACTTAGGGTCTCTGAGAAATTATAAGGACTCTGATCCTTACTCTGAGGGGAATGGGAGCCTTTGGAAGGTTTTGGGCAAAGGAGTATCATAATCTGAGTTTCTAAAGGATCATGCCACTGCTGTGTTGCAAATAAACCATAGAGTACAAGGGACAAGATAGGAGGCCATTAAAAAAAAAAAAAAAGATAGGAGGCCATTGCAGTAATTCAAAAAAAGATAGGAGGCCATTTGCAGTAATTCAAAGTAGAATGTTGAGTGAGAATAAAAGGGTAGGGTCAATATTGATGGCAAAGCTATTGACCAGAGCAACTGGAAGGAAGGAGTTGCAAATTTATTGAGTTGGAGACCATCACAAGAATGGGTTTGGGGGAGAAACTGAGAGTTGGGTTCTAGGCATAATAAATTTGAGGTATCTCTTCAGTATCCAATTAGAGATTGAGTTGGCAGTTGGATGTAGGAACCTGGAGCTCAGGGTAGTGGTCCTGGTTGGAGCTCTATCCCTGAACATCATCAGCATAGATGGTATTTAAAGCCATGGGTCTATGAGATCATCTAGGGTATGGGAGAGCAGAGAACTTGGGTAGGATTAGTGGACAGTACCACCAAACTGAAACAGCAAGTTGCAGTCCTCTTGTTCGCCAGGATAGACCTGGCCCAGCTGGATTCCCCACACCCGCCACTTGGGGCGGCACATTCCTAAGGGATGGACAAGCTCTTGCCTGCCCTTTGGCTCTCTTCTCTAGATTTCCTGTAGACCCACTCCCTTCCAAAAGCTCTTTCTTTTTCTTGCTGATTGTTTTGGTTGCTGTTTTCTTTACTCCAGTTCTAAGAACATATTTCTCTTTTTGATTGGACAGAAGTATCTTCCAAGCCTCCCCACCAGTGGTCATGGGGGAGACTCATCCATCTCATGTCAAGGAACTTTTTCTTACATTTCCTAACAACCCACCTTTCAAAAAGTTGAAAGAACCATACGGTGAACACCCATGTTCTCACCACCTAGATTCCACGATTAGCATTTTATTCTTCTTTATCACATATTTATCTACCTGTCTTTCCATTCAGCCATTAATCCATCTTATTTTATTCTCTTGAGGCATTTCAAAGTAAGTTGTAACATCAGCAGACTTCAACCCTCAACACTTCAGCATGCATGCCATTGCCTAGAATCTAGTACTTATTTGTGATGTTTAGGTAAAATTTACAAAGAGTGGGATGTGTGGAGCTTAAGTATACCATTTGATGAGTTTTGACAGATGTATACACCTGCGTGACCCTAACCTCTGTCCTGATACAGAGCATGACCATCACCCTGTTGCCCTTTACAGGTTAATTAATTCTAACCCCACCTCCAAAGAAGCACCTCTTCTTCTAATAACACACTCTTCCTACTGACAGTAGCTTTAGTTACTCTTTACTCTGGCTTTGAGGGCAACTTGATCCTTATGATTAGACCAAGGCATTTCCAACCTGCCCCAACCAACCTGTGGTGGAGGTAGATCCATCTACTCAGCTATGTTTATTTGTCGCTCACTCGGAGGTGGCTTTGCTGCAGTATTTAGAGACATCTCTCTGTGGCCTTTGCCTCCTGCCTCCAGTCCAACTCTGACCCTTAGATTTCTTCTCTCTTCTCTTTGGATTCCTGGACATCATCTGTGGAGAAAATTGATACCAATCCATCTTCCTCTTTCTCTTAATAAGAGTGAAGGCTAGTATTTATTGGGTACCTACTAGGGACCACAACAAAGCCCCACATGGACCTCTCGTCTTTCTGATGCCTCACAAAGTGATAGCCCCATTTTACAGATGAGGAAACAAAGACTCAGAGATCTTGAGTAACTTGCCCAAGGCAAGAGCCTTTCTCATCCCAAACCCTGCTCACCATCTCATGACTTGGGACCAGAGGTGTGGGGGCTACTTTCCCCCTCCCAATGCCCCTTGTCACATGGTCCCTCTGCTTTCCCACAGCTGTGGTAAAGAATCCACCCAACAACCTGTGGATCATTGCTGCGGTGCTGGCGCCCATTGCTGTGGTCACCGTCATCATCATCATCATCACTGCTGTGCTCTGCCGGAAGAACAAGAACGACTTCAAGCCAGACACCATGATGAACCTGCCTCAGAGAGCAAAGGTACGTGAGGTGGTGAGGAGAGACTCTGCTTGCCTTTTCTCTCTTGGCTTTGGAGGCCATTGCAAACACCTTCAGAAACATTCTACCAATCCCTAATTCTCAAAGAGACCCCTTATTTATTTTGATCTTTAAAAAATTAGAGTAAGGGCAGCCCAGGTGACTCAGCAGTTTAGCACCTTCAGCCCAAGGCGTGATCCTGGAGACCCAGAATTGAGTCCCATGTCGGGCTCCCTGCATGGAGCCTGCTTCTCCCTCTGCCTGTGTCTCTGCCTCTCTCTCTCTGTCTCTCTCATGAATAAATAAAAAATATTTTTAAAAAATTAAACTAGGGGCACCTGCGTGGCTCAGTGATTAAGCATCTGCCTTTGATTCAGGGCATGATCTTGGGGTGTGGGATCAAGTCCCACATTGGGCTCCCTGCAGGGAGCCTGCTTCTCCCTCTACTTGTGTCTCTGCCTCTTTCTCTGTGTCTCTCATGAATAAATAAATAAAATCTTTTTTTAAAAAATTAGAGTAAATTATACATAACATAAAATGTATCATCCTAACCATTTTCAAGTGTACAATTCCGTGGTGTTAAGTATATTCACATCGTTGAACACTCTTTATGTTTATAGTCAGGACATAATACCGAATGCTTATCTAGAGCTCTCATTTTGCCATAAGTGCTTCCAATAGCTTTACATATAGCAACTCAATCCTCCCACCAATAGCTTTAAGGAAGGGCCATTATTTTGCAAGTGAGGAAACTGAGGCACAGAAAATTAGGAGCTAGATAGACCTGCAAGGGGCCTTAGAGGTCATCTAACCTGACATCCTCCTTTTACAGAAAGGCGACTTAAGATCACCCACAGTTAGGAACAGAACTGATGGTAGAACCAGGTCTTTTGGCTCCTAATGCAGGGCTCTTTGGGGGCACATTAGACTCTCAAAGTTTTCCTTCTTCCATCAGCTGGAGGGGCTTATCTCCAAAGGCTGCCGTGATGGGCAAGCTGCAGAGCCTTGGCCCGGAGGTCATCAAACACCAGTTCAGTGGCTCCTCTGAAGCCTGGCCGGGAGCCCATCCACCCTGCACAGCTTCCACACCTCCGATGACTGGGCGGGGAGTGGACTCAGGAAATTCTGAAGGCTACTTGTCCAGTCACCTAGCTCCCTGCATATTCCCCAAGGGAAATATCATAATCTGTAATACCTGATGTTTACACAATGCCTTAAAATTTGCCGGGTCTTCTGTGTCTGTCACATTTGCTCATCACAGCAGCCCTTTAAGGTAGGTCGTAGTCAGGGCAGGTTTTATTATTTTCACATTAGTGTTGAGAAAACCAAAGGAAAGAGAGACTGTGGGGATTTGTCCAAAGTCACATAACTAGCAGCAGAGGAGCGACTCAATGCCGATACCTGTGCATTTAGGCTCTCTCCACATGATTGATACACCTTCTTAAACCCTGAGATTTGGCTGCCAGACTCCTCTTCCAGCACCAAACTCCTGAGCTTTGTCTACCTGTGCAGAAGTGAAACAGCAAAGACGGTCCTTGCCAGGAGTCATGCATGCCTAGTCCTTTCGGGATGGTCACACCTCGCTTCAGCAAAAGCAATCAAATGAGTTTTATTGTTTATTAAACTAATTCACCTGTTGCAAAGCTGCAGCTTGATCAGATGCTCTGTGTATGAAAGAACCAAACTCCAAAGGATGTTGTTCTGTTTCTGTCGACCCAAAGGCACCTGCTTTCCAGGAGCAGCGCAGTGTTGGTAATTGTCCAAGCAGCGAGACGTGAAAGTGTTCCAAGAAGGGGTATTTCATTTCCATCTTAGCTTAGTTACAACCTGAGCCTTTCAGACATAACAGTAATTACCAGAATCTAATTGCAGCCGAGTCCAGGAATGTAAAACCTGCCACACTGAGGTTGTAAATGCCAACTTTGTGTTAGAGATTAAGCCAAATTTTTATTAATTTACCAAGGTGAGTTGGGCAGCCCACGATTTCAGCCATACCTTCTGGCTTGAGAGCTCTTTGAAGCTGGAAGAGATTCATGTTTGTGGGTTTTCAGAGCCCCTTTTATGTTCCTACCTGGTGTATCGTGCTTGAAGAGATACCTGGCCAATGTTGAAAATCAAGCCAATTTATGTTCCAAGAGAAGACTGGCTTCACTTGTGCATGGTGGTGGTGGCTGTTTGCTCCTTCAGTGAGCCTGGGCTCCGCACTTTGATTTGCAAAGCCCTTTTATCATAGGAAGCCAGTGGCGTGGAACTGCCTCTTTCTTACTGCAGTCCTTCTGCTGTTGCAACCCAGGGACACTGCAGTGTTTGGGAGGAGAGAGCCGCCTGCATCACTTCTCACAACGTGCTGTGTGGTGTGTGTGTGGTGGAGCAGAATTCATTTGATGCCAAGGGACAAGGAGGAATGAAGAAGTTAGCCTTCGTGACCAACCCACAGAGCGGGAGGATGGTCTCCTAGTTTCCGGGGACATCACTGTGTCTTTAGAATGCAGGCTGCAGTGCCAGAGGACATTCCCCGGATCCCTGCTGAGACTCAGTAATAGGCTTGACAGGCTAAGAGGAGGTGAGTGCGCCTGTCCTGGGAGCCGAGGCCAGGGCGTGCACACCCCTACTCTTCTTCAGAGACTGGGTACCATCGACGGAACCCTGTCACCATGGTGGTCATCTGGGCTTCTGCAGGTAGAAGGTTGAGAACCTGAGAAATACAGGCATCAAGTCTTTTGTGACCTTCTTTCTTTCTGGTTCATTTCTCTTTACTCTTTGTCATTCACAGTCTTTGTCCAGTGGTTCCCTTCCTATAATTGATGAGAACATGGCTCCCTGGAACAGGCAGCCTTATGGGAAAGTAGTTAGGGCCACACCCAGATGCAGGATGGAGCTTGGAGGGCCTGCAGTAGTTGGCATGACCGTCTGCTCGGGACAGGTCAGTCGCCCCCTAAAGGTGCCCAGCTGTTTCCTCTTTTTCACACACTACCTATGGGTCCTGTATGTACTTCACCCCTTTGTGTCTCAGTTTTTTCATCTGTGAAATGGGGATGATAACACGATGTATTTATAGGTTGTTGTGAAGATTAGGGGAGCTATGTAAGTTACTTTGAGCTGGGCCTGGCACATAAATATTACATTCGAGTCGGCCTTTCTTTTTTTCTTTCTTTTCAAGTTTAAAATCAATTAATTAACATATAGTGTATTATCAGTCTCAGAAGTAGAGTTCAGTGATTCATCAGTTGCATATGACACCCCATGCTCATTTCATTAAGTACCCTCTTTAATGCCTGTCACCCAGTTACCTCATCCCCCCGCCACGTCCCCTCCAGCAACCTTCAATCTGATTCTTATGGTTAAGAGTCTCTCATGGTTTGTCTCCCTCTCTGATTTCATCTTTTGTGTGTGTGTGTGTGTGTGTGTGTGTTGATTTCATCTTTTTTATTTTTGCTTCCCTTCCCCCTTGCTCATCTGTTTTGTTTCTTAAATTCCACAGATCAGTGAAATCATGTGATATTTGTCTTTCTCTGAGTGACTTATTTCACTTAGCATAATTCCCTCTAGCTCCATCCATGTCATTGCAAATGACAAGATTTCATTCTTTTTGATGGCTAAGCAATATTCCATTGTGTGTGTGTGTGTGTGTGTGTGTGTATCACATCCTCTTTATCCATTCATCTGTCGATTGGCTTTTGTTACTATATATACTTTTTTCTTAAAAGGTCTGGATAACATGTCTACCTTTGAAATTGTTGGGGATTATTTTGATCTGCTAATTTTACAGAACTCGTTGAAGCAGCTATAGATACTTCATGATGTCTCAGCGGTGTCAAGGGTCACTAGTGTGTGTCCAATGGCAATTAATGAATCGCAGGTGATTGCGAATGTCATCAGTCAGAGGAGTAAGGGACTAGTCTTGAGTCTTTCACCACTTAGCTGTGTGATCTTAGGCAAGTCACTGAACCTTTCTGAGCTTTTGTGTCCTTACTGTAAAATGAAGACTATGATGTTCCTCCCGGAGGTGGTCGTGAGCATGAAATGAGGTGTCAGTGTTTTGTAGGCTGTAAGTATTGAACATACATGAGAACTGTTATTATTAACCTAACAGTGGCCACTGTTGAACTCGTCAATCCTTAATGTCTCTCTGCTCACTCGTTGTCAGCGCAGTCCCCTGAAGGATCCAGCAGATAGCTTCAACACAGTGTAAAGGGTGAGGGACCAAATCCAGGGAGAATGGGGGCAAGAAGGAGGCCAGGGCCAGCTTTTTGTCTTTACTAGGTTCTTGGGAAGTCTTAAGTGCCATTGGAGACTCTCAATTCCTCCTCACAGACAGGCCAGGAGTCTTAGCACGGGAGCCAGGCCAAGTACGGTTAGTAGATGCCCAATCAAGATGGCAGACTCTAGAAGGAGAGGAGAGGCCCTGGGAAGAACCATCAGGCAGTGGTTAGATATTTTGGCTCTGCATCACACACAACTGGATGCCAATCCCAGCCCTGCCACAGACCAGCTGCATGAGCCTGGGGAAGTGGCTTAACCTCTCCAAACCTCTGATTCTTTATCTTTAAAATGGGGAATCATCATAATAATACCCACCTCCTTGAACTACAGTGGGGATGAAATGTCTTAATTGATTTCCTGCATTCGGCACTGTACTAGTAATATCAAACATTCCTTGAGGGCAGCAGAGGACCAGATATTATTCATCTTTATATCTCCTGCACGGGGCACAGTCCCTGGCACAAGCCAGTGCCCAAGAACTCTAGTCGGCACTACCCTAACTAGGATAATGGGGGCCTGAAAGTATTACAGAAAAGGAGTCACCAGGAGGTACAGCTGAGCAGCCAGGTCCAGGCAGGCTGTGAAGGGCCCTGATGCCTTGCTGAAGAGTCTGAGTGCTGTGAAACATTTTTAATGGGGGAGTGACATGACCTGATGTGTTTTTCAGGGAGATTAACTTTGGAAGCTTGTCCAGGATGAGCCTAGAAAAGATGTGAATGGAAGCAACAATACCAAGCCAGGAGACAATAAAACAGTGGATCTGGGGAGAAAATGTCAGCTTCTAGAAACATTTCAGTTGAATCCACTTGGTGACCATCAGTGGGAGGAGCAGATAGTCCAGTAGTCTAGGAACATGACCAGGTTGTTCAAAGGCTCATTCCATTTCATGAGGCCCCACAGGAGGGAGGGAAACGAACAAACACTATTTCAGAAGCACGTTGCCAGCTCCTGGCACAGAATGTCCGTGGTCACCATTTGGGATCAGAGTGTGTGTCTCAGCCAAGAGGGAACACTGAGCACACTTCCCAGAGTGAGTTTCCCCAGGAATGGGGGTGGGGGGGAATGCCAATAGCAGAACTACAGGCAGCTTGACATGAGGAAGCTTTGCTGGATTTAGCAATAAAACTCCATCCTGGGAAAAAAAAAAAAAAACTCCATCCTGGGGCAGCCCCGGTGGCTCAGCGGTTTAGCGCCGTCTTCAGTCGAGGGTGTGATCCTGGAGACCGAGGATCGAGTCCCATGTCAGGCTCCCTGCATGGAGCCTGCTTCTCCCTCTGCCTGTTTCTCTGCCTCTCTCTCTCTCTCTCTCTCTCTCTCTCCCTCTCTCCCTCTCTCCCTCTCTCCCTCTTTCTGAGTCTCTCATGAATAAATAAATAAATCTTAAAAAAATAATAAAATAAAACTCCATCCTGCCCTGAGGTGCGGCAGGAAGATGCGATGGGTTGGGCCACAGTCCTAGACCGATCCATCTAGCTGGGTGCTCCCTGCTACATTTCTTAGGAAAAGTCGCTATTGAAGGGGGAGCTCCTTATCATGCCAAGTTCTGAGTGAACCCATGTGGTGGAGGTTGAGTTTCATCCCCAGATTTTCTTGAGGAGAATCACTGATTTCTATTTCACTTGGTCTGTGATGTAATAAGAAGCAAACAGTCTTAACGCGTATTCATGGAGCACTTACTGTATGCCAGGCACTTCACTAAATGCTGAACATGCCTTTACTACTTAATCCATGCAGCATGTCTTTGAGGGCGGTTAAGTCATTTTCACATCCTTATATATTGGATCCTGTTTACCCTACTATTATCTCCACTTACAGGTGAGGAAACCCACGTGCTGAGAATTTCAGTGTCTTATCCGAGGTCACCTAGCTAATACATGGTAGAGCTGGGATTGGAACCTAGGCAGTGTGTTTTGGAGCTGGTACTCTCCACCACCCCATTGTCCTGCCTCAAATCTCTGTTGTGCTGCTCTGGGGCAGAAAACAGAATAGAGACACTCCTAGGAACTGTTTAAACACGCCTCTTGGTTTTTTATTGCCCTACTAATGGATGTCTGTTGGGCTTTGCTCACAGCTGCCCTATTCACGTGGGATTTCAGACATCGTGCAATAAAAGCCTTGCTAATTACCCAGTAATGAATCATAGGAGAGCCATAGGTCTGGATTTGAGTGATTCCATAAATTCCATTTTATTATTAATGATTGTACTGCCGCACATGTGGAAGCATGTTTCTTTCCCTCTGTTTGCAGAGCTGTGATTCCTCTCTAAAACCCAGGGGTGGTGTAAATAAAGCAGATCTGATTGTCTTCATTTCTCATATGAGAAAATTAAGGTTCAGAATTCAAGCAACTTGGCAAAGTCACACGCCTCTTACTACACATAAAACCATGTGAAAGTGGGGGTCGGGGATGACAGGTCATTCCTAGACAGGAGCTGATACTGGACTTACTTCACGTATCAATTAAGAGTCTCGAATTAGCAGTATCCAGTGACTTAAAATTGGTGGTTTAAAATTCTTGAAAGAAGTTTGTTCTCACACGCATATTTGCATCTTATTTATGCTCTTCTATGGAGATTCTGTAGCTAGGTGGAATGAGCACAGATTCTGATTTTGCAGACAGGAATTATGGGGGAGATTTGAGCTCACCCTTGTTCATCAGAAAGCTAAGTGTGGTACTGTCACATGCACGCTCCTGCCCATCCTCTCTCAAAGCCATCATCGGTCACACTTTGTCAGGAATAGGACCACAAATCCATTCCCTCTTTGCAGCCCGTGCAAGGCTTTGATTATGCCAAGCAGCACCTGGGCCAGCAAGGCGCCGATGAGGAGGTCGTCCCTGTGACTCAGGAAACGGTGGTCCTCCCGCTTCCCGTCAGAGATGCTCCTGCCTCTCAGGAAAGAGACATCACCCAGGATGGAAGCACCATCAAGACGGCCAAGTCCACTGAAACCCGAAAGAGGTAGGCACGGGGCCAGCTTCTGCGTCTCTCTATCAGCAAGGGGAATAACTGATGGTGAGAGCAGCTGAAGCCCTCAAGTTCATACCACTTTCCTCTTTAAAAAGTCCCCTTCGTGCTTGTTTTGAATATTTGGGAAGGAGACTGAGGGAGATGATGAGAATCTTAATACTCGTTTCTTATGAGCCACACTTTGTAAAGTTTGATGACACTGATCAGCCAACAACAGCAGAGCTTTAGCTTTCATATGTATTACAACAAATTTGGCACTGGTGTCATGCTTGTATTATTTAACTTATAAGTGGTGCCTTTGATTCAGTAGACTTGGATTTTATCTGGCCGTTTTTCAAGGTTTGAGTTCAAAAACCATTTTGGGAAGGGGGCGCCTGGGTGTCTTAGTTGGTTAAGCATCTGACTCTTGGTTTCAGCTAAGGTCATGATCTCAGAGTGGTGGGATCAGAGTTGTGGGATTGGGCCCCTGCATGGGGCTCCATGTTCAGCAGGGAGTCTGTTTGAGATTCTCTCCCCACTACCCCTCCACCTGCCTCTCTCTCTCTCTCTCCCTCAAATAAATAAATAAATCTTAAACAAATTTTTTTTAGGAGTGTTTACCATAAATAGAGTACTTTGACAGGCATGGGAAGGGCTACAGAAAGGTTTATGATTGAGTTGTGACCCCAAGGATCTCATGATAGAGAGACAGAGAAAAAATACCTGGAAACCAAGCATGATGTGCAGTGCTCATAGGGGAGTCTGAACAAAGTGCTGTGGAAAAGAGAGGGGTAAGAGCTTAATTCCGATGAGGGAAAGAATGGTGGAGGAGCTTGTTTTAGCTAGACCTGAGAGGGTGAGTGGAGTGCCAATAGTTGGGGAGAGATAAAGGTGTCCAGTCCAAAGGAGCTGGGGGAGAAGAGGGATCAGCACACATTCACTTAATGGTGAATGTCCCTAGGGTTTAGAGTTCACGGTGGCTGGGATGCAGTGAAGGATGAAACCAGAAGATGCAGGGAAGGATGAAACCAGAAGTGGGGGTGCTCAACTGCCAGGTAAGGGACTTTGACCTGTATTCTCCAGGCAATGGCAAGCCACTAAAAGATCTTCAGCAGGACAGTGACATCCAGCCTGTATTTTAGAAAGACTGCTCCAATGGCAATGTGGATGATAGATGGGAGAGGTTAGGCTAGAGGCCAGGAGACTCACTGTAAGGACTTTACAATAGTCTTATAAAGAGGTAATGAACTCTATGACAAGCCCTGTTGGCTGGCCAAACCAACTCCCATTGCCAAGTCCCTTCTCCCTTCTCCACCACAGTGGAGGCTGGAAAAGCCACATCATCCCTGCCTCCTTCCTTTTCTCCCTCCCTTCACCTAACATTTTGGTTAAGTGTTGTTCACCAGGCACCAAGGATGTGGCAGTGAACAAGACAACGCTCCTACTGTCATGGTGCTTACAATCTGGAGGAGAAAGATAGACAATGAACAAATAGAGAAGTATATACATAGTAAGTTGGGTGGTGATGTGTGTGAAGAAGAAAACCACAGCAATGTAAGAGGATAGAGCAATGGAAGGGGGTAGGGGTGTGATGCTGTTTTAGCTAGGAGGTCAGGGAAGGCCTTTCTGATAAAGTGACACTTGAGAAAGACCTGAATGAAATGATGTGTATGCCTCAAGGCTATCTTGGACAAGAACATTCCAAGCAGATGGAACAGTATGTGCAAAGCCCAGAGGAGGAAATCTCTTAACATACTGAAGAAGAGCAACAAGGCCAATGTGAACTAGGGAGGAAGTGGTGGCAGATGGGTCAGAGAAGTTGCCTGAAGTTGATCATGTCAGGCTTTACAGACCAAAGTCAGGACTTGGAATTTTATTGTGAACTTAGATCAGAAGTCATTGGAAGGTTTTGAGAACAGTGACATGATGTGACTTGCAATAAAACTGCAAGGCGAGAGATGGTGGTGTGGGCCAAGGCATGGAAGTGTGAAAACTGATGGGATGCTAAACATGTTTTGAAGGAAGAGCTAACAAGGCTTGCTTGGAATGAAATAGAGAGGGATGAATTTGCCATTGGTTTTGTTGGAGAGGACCAGAAGAGAAGAAATCTGTAGGGGATAATCATGAGTTTAGATGTGGACATGTTAAGTTTGAGATGCCTGTTGGGCATGCAAGTGGAAGTGTTCACAACTCAATTGTTGGGTTCAGAGGAGGGGTACTGAGTAGAAATATAAGTGGAGGAGTTGTCAGCATTTAGTTATTTAAAGCTATGGCACTGGATGAGGTCACCTAGGAGAGTATAGGTAGAGAAGAGATCCAAGACCTGACCTCTGGAACATTACAATGATTAGAGGTCCAAATGAGGAAGAGTCAGCATAGGAGACTGAAAAGCATCAGGGGGAAAAAGGCATGAGGAGGACAAAGCAAGAAAGGAATCCAAGAAGCCAAAAGAAGAGAGTAATTTGAGGGGGAAGGAAGGATTGTCTGTGTCAGGTACATAAATTTTGCACTGGAGTCATGCAACCAAGGCTCTGTGTTTTTCCCTCCAGGAGTTCTTGGTATCTCAGAAAGGGGTACAGAGAAAGGTATAGAGGAAAAAGGTTGAATTTCAGCTTGGGTAGGAAAGAAGGTTGAGGAGATATGGATTAGTTATATATTCCTCCACCACACACTCCTCCAAATCTTAGCAGCTTAAAACAACAGCCATTTCTTTAGCTCATGATTTTTGGTGGATTGAAAGTTTGAGCTGAGCTCAGGTAGGTGGTGGTTCTGGGCTGAGCTAGACTCAACTGATCTCAGCTGGGCTCACTCATGCATCTATAGTAAGGCAGTGGGCTGGCTGGGCTGGCTTGCTGCTGATAGCCTTGTCTGGGGCCGCCTGGTCCCTGGGGCCTCCTTCCACATGGTCTCTCATCCTCTGGCAGGCTAACTCTGGCTTTCTGACAGGGTGATTACAGCAAGAAAATAAGCTCCCAAGTTTAAGCACTTCTTCAATCTTTGCTTGTGTTATGTTTGCTGCTGTCCTGTTGGCCAAAGCAAGACGCATGGTCTAGTCCAGAGTCAGTGTGGGAGGCGGCTACCCAAGCTTGGTTACGGGGAGGTGGACTGCAGCAGTCCGCCCCAGCATGGGGAGTTGAAACATATAGAGAAGTAATAGATGAATTATCTGAATTGACTGGCAAATAGAATTACTTACAGTATTATTCCCATTATGATCTTTGCCAAATACAATAAAGGCATGTTAGCAACCTATTTATCACCTATTAGAGGATGCTAAAAGGAAATAAATAGAATTACTAAAATTAGGATATTAACACAGCACTACTGGGAAGAATAAAAATTCTTTTCCACCCATTCTACTTGAGTGATTTAAATCATCTAAAGATTTATTTTTAAAAAATTCTTTTTTTAGAACAAGCTTATCTTCTTGAATGAGAAGGCATCTACCCTTGGTAATCAAATTTGATTACTTATCCTTAGAATTTTATTAAGAAATATTAGCTTCTGAAATAAATATAAAGAAAACAATGCCTACACAGCTGAATGATTTCTATATTTGCTTCATAATGTATCTATAAAAATAGAATTTTACTAAGGGCTGGCTATATCATGGCCAAAGCTATGCGGGAAACCCCACTTCTGTTCAAGTTCAGCTGACCACAGGAGTCTCTAATCATTTGGAAAGATATTAAGATGCCAAAACCAACAGCAGACCCATCATGCATTTATTTTTCTGGCCTTTCCATCTTGCCGCATCAGTTCCCTCATTCCTGCTGGTTGAGGACTCCATGACCTATCAGGACGGGTCTGTTAGGTGATCCAAAAACTTTTACAAGTGAAACACAGGAGAAACCAGGAGTGGGTAGACATGAAAATATCTCGATTTTTAAGCCTGTTTTTAAAACTATTTTAATACTGAAATCTGAGGGTTCAGCCACTTGCCAGACAACCAGACAGTTGTTGTTGCGGGTCCTGTTCCTCTAGCCAAGGCTCTTGGTGATGCTGTTTTGTTGATCTGTGACTGCGATTAATGGGCGAGGTTAAAGAATCAACCTCATAGGGACAGTCATTCAATTCAGTGATTGGCCCTAACTGTTCAGCAACTGATTAATCTCTCCCCCCCTACCCCGGACTCATGACTCTTCATCCAGGCTCCACGTACACCCATATCCCCAGAAGAGGGCCTATTGAGTTCAGTAGCCTACGACCAATGCCTTACAGTTGGCCCTTTCTTGCTTTCAAAAACGTCTTTGTTACTGTCGTGTGAGTGGACATACACACGTGCAAATCTCACTCTCTGTTTTTGACCAGAAGTTTGAGTTGATGGATCCGTGTAACCATAATCTATAAACTGATGAAAGAGTAAAACAGAGGTGGAGTTTCTCTCCAGAAATGTATTCATTCAAAAAAAAAAAAAAAAAAGGAAGAAATATATTCATTCATACCTTTCCCAGGAGGGAGAGAAAAAAGCCAGAAAACTGTTTCAGGATCAAATGAAGGAAAGACTATGCAAATGCCATTAAGTATTTTATGATTGTAAAATAGGTTACAAGAAGCCCTTCTCCTTCTTTCCTCTGTGGGCCTCAGTGAAAGTCTTGTTGTCCCAATAAAGCCAGTTGGAAGAGTGGGTGCTGTTAACTGGGGTTCTGAAAACAATCCCAGGGCTTATGTCTTCTCTGTGGATGTATATTTGTATGGCCGGCACTCAGTGATCCAATAGTTGTTGGATAAATAATAAACATTTAATAAATTAATACTTTATCCATATTTTCCCAGGCTGCATTCTTTGTATTACTGTCTTATGGTGAAAGAGATCTGGGCCCAAATAAACTGGGAAATGCTGGATTAAACAAAAGGAGAGGAGTCTCTTTATGATAGGACTGAGCAGGGCCTTTGATATGTTAATGTGTATCAGGAATATCCAAAGAAGGAATACAATAGACAACATTTCCCAAACTTGTAGTTGTCTGAGGCACTTTGGCCAGGAACATCTCATTTGGCTCTGTTGTTCTGTGGAACCCTCTGGGTAGATGTTGCTTTCTCCCATGGATGTGAGTGGACACTCTCACTGGTGGTGATTTTAGGGTGCTGAAGAGTATAGAACCAAGGATTTTTAATTCCCAGAGGATGGGGAGGGCAAAGGAAGGGGAAAAAAGAGGAGGCATTCACAAGGATACACAGCTTCCACTTAAGGAGCTGCTTACTTACTGGGCAAGCGCTACATTTTATTCCAGCCAATTTTCCATTGTAGAGGCTGGATGTCTTTAGGTTCTGAATTTGGACAGTTGACCGTAAAAGAATTAGAGGTTTGATGAGGTGTCTGGACATCTGCCTCCTGACTGTCTCCACAGAGGGGAAGGCAGTTGGTCTTTATGATGATCTGAGGCCTGAGGAAGCATGAACCTCAGCAGGGGCCCCAAAAGCCCATTTCTCACGGAGTTCCAGAAGACCAGAATCCGCCCCCAGGGAAGGGGAGAGGGCCCTGTGGCTTGCTGTGCGTAAAGGCCTGCCTCATCTGGGACGTTGTGGGAGACAGTAAAGGAGAGGTGCCCTGGCACGTGCGCAGAGCCCCTACCTGCAGGGGAAGTCCTGGTTTCCAGGACTGATCCGCCACTTCCTAACCCAGCCCAGAACAAAACACTCCACCCCCTTGAGCATCACATTCCTTACTTGCTGAACAAGGGTGATGATCACCAAATCAGTAGATGGTCCTAAAGATTCACTGAGAGTTTTGAAAGCATTCGTGTAGTCCTTGGCACCTAGATGGCGCTTCCAATGGGGAGCTCTTGGAGAACATGGGTGGCCTCTTAGTATCTCTGTATGCCAGTGTACCTGGCACAGTGCCAGGCGCAGAGCCGATGCACGTAAAGTATTTCCTGAAGGAATGAATAGCTCACATTGGTAGTTTCAGATGTAAGGGGTCGCCAGTTGACAGTCAAAGAACGTGTGCATGCATGCGCTTGTGTGTGAGGCAGAGCGGAGAACTCAGGGGTGGGATGACTTTAGTGGTCAAGGTACATTCTGTAAAGAGAACCATGTCTTATGCATGTCCCTGCAGATGCCACATGAATCAAATGCTCTGCAGCGCTATTCAAAGTGCTGTGTTTTAAAAGGAGGGCATGCTTACAAACCCCATAACCACCTTTTCCATAGTCACCGGGGGTTAATGGAACAGAGATGGGACCTGAGGGCCACACTCGCTGAACTTGTCTCCAGAGCTAAGCACTCCACCTAAATGACATACTTCATGAAGACCAGCTGCTTCACCCAGGCCGAAGTGTGGGGCTGGTTTTGTTTTGTTTCTTTTCCTGTATCATTCCTTCTTTGTGGGTGAAACCAGAATGAAAGGCGACAGACAAAAACTGTGCAAATAAAATAACCTTGAGAGGAGGCTGCTGGAGTCGCAACTTACCGTCTTCCTGTTGCTATGGTTACTTCCAGCAGGTCGCCCAGTGAGAATGGCTCTGTCATCAGCAACGAATCAGGGAAGCCCAGCTCGGGGAGGCGCTCGCCCCAGAATGTCATGGCACAGCAGAAAGTGACAAAGGAGGAGGCACGGAAGAGAAATGGTGAGAAGCCTTCCTTGCCAACACCAGTCCTGAGCCCATCCCACACACGCTTGCGCACATACGTGTGCCCACACTCACATGCACCTGTGTGCTTTCACCCTAGGGTCTTCTCTCTGACGTGCCCCCCAGAAAGGTCAGGAGTCTGCTACCTGCCTCTTGGGATACTGCCCGTCCCCCTTCTCTGAATTATTCTGACTCACCCTCCCTGCTGCCTGTGCTTCTGGAATTGCCTAGTTCTTTAGAAAAGCCCTGTGCAGAATGAGCCAATGTGTGCCTTGCGATTTTTCTAATTCTTGGCTGAATGGACAGGATTCCCAGCACCGGGTCCACTAGGGGGGCCAGGTCTCTGAAAGGCTGCTTGTCTTGGAGATTTTCCCCCTCATTTTCTTGCCTTGACTCCCTTGATAAGTTTCAGGGGTTCAGTCTCTGCCAGTAAGTCCCGATATTGCCAATCGACCTCTCCCAGAAAAAACAACACAGTAATAAATCTGTCGTCATAAAAATCAGCCTGTGGTTCTGCCTTGATTCTCTAGGGAAACGTGACCATTTGATCTCTCCCTCACACAGATCTTTTCCTTCCCTATAAAGGATGGGTGTTGGGGTTTATTTATAAGTCACTGGAGCTGCCTTATTGTGTGGTGGTACCATCCATGCCTGGCATCCGTTGGCTATGACTGTGTGTCGCCTCCTCCCGGTCCCACCTTTGTGCATCCCTTCTGTGCGTGGTGCTGACTGACTGGAGCCCAGGTTCAAGTACCCGGTGCTGCCACTCAGTTCAGAAGAAATTCTTTTCAGCTTTCAGTGGGTTGTTAGGTGGAGTCCTACAGAAATGCCGAATGTCTACAGAAATGTGAAAGCTGGATAATCTGGCACTCAGGTTAGCTGTGCTTCCCTTTTAAAGGAATGTGATGGAATATGAATCAGGGCCTCTCGGAGCTAGTGCCAGAAGATTCTTTTGTTTTCAAATGTCACTGATTTCTTTTTTTCTGACCGAAAGAAAGAAAGAAAGAAAGAAAGAAAGAAAGAAAGAAAGAAAGAAAAGAAAGAAAGAAAGAAAAAGAGAAAGAAAGAAAAAGAAAAAGAAGAAAAGGAATAATGACACAATGGATTTTTCTTCTGCTGGGCAAATGTGGCCCTCATTCCCATTTCCAGCCATTATGTAAAGCACTGGCTTAAATTGTCATAGCGATTTCATTCTGGAACTTCTTCTCCTGACTTCCCCATGCCCTATAACAGAGACTGCTTTCTACACCAGAATCCAGGTCTGGCATGTGGGGTTTTCTTGGAATAGCGATCCTACCTGGGACCACCAGAAATCCTACCTATCAGCTCTCTGCCAAACCAGCTCACAGAATGCTTCCCAGAAATATGTAAAGTCTAGTCAAAGTCTGTCCTCCCACACATGCCCCATCACCCACCCCAGTGCTCAAATGACCTTGAATAAAACAGCCTGTGTCTTTCTCAGACCTTCTTACTATGCATATGATAACACACACATATCTGTTTTGTTGGATTGCTTTGTTTTTTATAAAATGAATCAGTGTACATAGTGTTCTATGCCCTTTCTCTTGCTTAGGAACGCACAATGCACAGACTTCTTTGCAGTAAGTCAGTAAATCATATTTACAAGATGATGCCTTTCCCTATCCCTTGCATTTAATCCATAGAAGAGGAGGGAGCAGGGCCTGTTTCTGACCCCATCACTCCCTGCCCTGGCTGGTGAGACACTGACCTGCCCAAAAAGTTCCTGCTGACCTTCCGTTCTTGTTTTCCACAGCTCTGCCTGCCTCCTTATTGTTTAGGTCACTTTGATTATTTAAATATCAGGCACAGAAATAACACGAGCCAGGTGCATGAATAAAATCCAATTACTGTGCTAGGCTGAGGTTTTAATGTGTTTGTTCTATTAAAAAGCCATCCTTTCTCCACATTTATCGTGCTCCATTGCATTTTATTTCTGCCAGAGGTAAACCCAGTGAGCTTCCAGGGGTGGTGTCTTCCCTTTCACCACAGGTCCCCATTCGGTGAGGTGCAGTTTGAAATTTTCAAACAGAAAGATGGGACCAATTGGTTTGCTGAAAATTCAGCAGATGCTGAAGTACATCAGAATTCCAGCCTGGACCTTCTGTGGAACCTACACTTGTCCTTTTTTATCACAGAGCTCCACTTTATACCATATCATAGCTATGACCTTCATCAAAATATCAGTAGTATATTTTATTGGATTGGAAAAGGAATCAAAGGAGGGAAGAAAGGAAAGAAGGAAGGAAAGGAGGAGGAGGGAAGAAGGAGGGAGAGAGGGAAGGAAGGCAGGAAAGGAAGTAGATTACTGATTTATGTAAGTTAAAACCAACAGCACAAGTGAGACACAATGAGATCAGGGAATGGTTGCATTTATGATGATGATGATGATGATGATGATGACGGTGATGTTTGGTGGGGGACCCTTCCACAGTTTAACTGTGGTGCTTTCCTTTAGCATTCTCCCATACTTTTCCCTTTAGGGACTAATTATGCATCAAATATTCCCATGAATCTGCTGGACTCCCTCACTTTCATATATCGAGATTTAATGTAATATCTTTTTCTGTAGGTCTTTGGGGAGGGGGGCAGGATAACTATTTTTCTCTTAAACCTGAAGGGATTATTGTGCCAAATCTGAATCTTTTTTGAGAATAAGGTTGGGACAGAACTGTAGTTCATGCAATTTCCAGGGTATCCTTTTTCCATCCCATTCTAGTTATGCTCTCTCCTTACCCTGTCCACAGGGTGCGAAGTGAGGGAGTCACCACCCAGAATCAATAAAAAGACTGAGTACCAACCATCTCTTCACCTTCTGAGCAGTGTAGTGATAGCATAACTTTGACTTCTACGAGTTCCATGTGTTTTGCACGGACTAAGAACTAACAACAGTCTCCTTTTCTAAGTCAGCACAATTTTTTGTCATTCCTTCCTTCCTGCCTTCATTTATTTGACAAATCCTTAGTAAAAGCCCACCACATGTGAGACATCGTTAAGGCAATAGGAATCAACCTTTTCAAAGGTGGGCCAGAACAGAGCTAGATTCCAGGGACGGGGTGTGGGAAGGTTCAATCAATACACGTCAGCAGTGATAAGTGCTGTGAAGAAAACATAGCAGGATGATGGGCAGGGATAAGGAAGGGCTTTTTCAAGCTGCAGTTGAAAAATAAGAAGGAATGGGGCATGCCAAGATCTAAGGAAATAGCATTCTGAGCAGAGGGAACACCTAATGCAGAAGCCCAGAGGTGAGAACAAGCCTGATGTGTTCCAGAAGGCCCTTGTACCTGGAGCAAAGCAGATGAGGGAAATGTGCTCAGCCGATCGTCGGGGCCAGATCATAAAGACTCTGGGTTTTATTCTGAGAGTGGTGAAGGCTTCAGAGGGTTCTGATCGAGTAGTACTGTGATCTGGTTATCCATCCTGGCTGCTGTGAGTATGTATCTTAGGTAGAAAGACAAGAGTGGAAGCTCCCAGGAGGGAGATTGTTTAGGTGGATTAGGTACGTACTGCTGTGCAACAGATTGCCCCCAACACTTGGCAACCAAAAATGCCAATCAGTGTTTATTATCCTCATGTGGTATCTGTGGATCAGGAATTCAGAGGTGGCTTAGTTGGGTGGTTCAGGCTCAGAGTACCCCCAGAGGTCCCAGTCAGGATGTTGACTTGGGCTGTAGTCATCTAAAGACATGACGGGGCCTCCAGAATCCACTTATACGAAGGCTCCCTCACATAGTTGTTGGCAGGAGTCTCAGTTCCTTGCCACATGGGCCTCTCCATGGGGCTGCTTGAGTGCCCTCATAACATGGCAGCTGACTTTCCCCAGAGTCAGTGATCCAGGAGAGAGCAAGGTGGAAGCCACAGGCTTTTTTATGACCTAGCCTTGGAAGTAACACACTGTCATGTCTGCGATTTCCTATTGGTTACACAGCTCAGTCCTATTCATCGTGGCTATGAATATCAGGAGGCGAGAACCACTGGGCGCCATCTTGGAGGCTGGCTGCCATAGATGGTTTTCACAGCAGTTGCCCAGGTGGGAGATAATGGTGGCCAGGCAAGAGTTGTCCAGCAAAGCTCTACTCGAAAGAGATGTCTGAGCAGAGATTTTCTTCTGTCATTGGCTGTTTGGTGTCCTGCTGCTATTTTGCAAATAAGTTCACAGAACCAAAAAATACTCCAATGATATAGCCTGTTGCGTTAGACTCTGAAGTGTTTTAGCCACATTGTATGATAACGATTTACTCAGCTTACTTTGGCAAATCTGTGATTATGGTAAGTGACAATACGATATAAGCCACGTGTTTCTCAATAATTTAAATAGCATCCCAATCTCTTGAGTAAGCCGTAGGAAAGATGAATATACTTCTATTACATTCATATTTTACAGAACACCTCTATTGCTCCTAAATTGCCTACTGGTCTGGTTGTCTGAACAGGCTTAATTTATCTCTCGCCCAGCCGTGCTCAATAAACTGTCATTCCTAGAGCTGCCTAATGGGAATGTGCTTTAAGCACAAGTCAATCGGCAAGATACCACTGATTCAGGAGCTTCTCTGCCAGCTTAGTGATTGAAGCACCAGGCAGACTGGTGTCTTTCAGCAATCAGAGCAGAATTATCTGTCAGAGGGAATAATTAACTTAACAGAATGTAGGCGGAATTCACTCTATTTAATTAGGAAAGTTGTCTATAGTGTTAAATTAGTTTCTCTGGCAGTTATTTCTTAGCTTTCTTTTGTTTCGACAAATGAAAAAAAAATCGTTGGAGAAGCAGCCTTGAGAAAGAAAAAAAAACAGAGTGTGTGCAGCAATTACTGTGGCCAGTTGACCAGGGAAGACTTATTTCCTTGACATCGTGCAAAAATGGGTGGCTTTGGTGCCAGAGAGTGAACTGAATGCTGTTATTCCGTTGACTGTTGTATTTTAAGAATAGTTGCCAGCTTTGGCCAAATTGTATTTTTTTCCTGAAAACATTTTGTCATAGTTTTGAAAGAATGGCTTTTACTGTTTAAATTCAAACCTCCACGGTTCTTTCCTAGCCCTTGATAATACAGTGGAAGAATGAATAGTATAGATCTTACATTTCAGAGAAATCCTTGAACAATAGTGAGCCCTTGGTACAGAACCAGATGCTATTGCTCCTGAGGTCCTTTTGAGGAAAAGAATGTCCTCAGGCTGTGAGCCTTACACAAATTCCCGCATGATCATGCAACTGCCCTACACAATAAAAATCAATGTGTTGATGTTGTGCTTCAGTGCCAGCGAGTGATGAAGAGGAAGGAGCGGTGCTTTTTGACAACTCTGGCAAGGCGGCTGCCGATCCCTTTGACACATCTTCCGGCTCTGTGCAGCTCATTGCAATAAAACCCACAGCCCTCCCTGTGGTCCATCCCACGTCGGACAGGAGCCAGGAGTCAGCAGCCCTCAATGGCGAGGTGAGCATCTGGTGACCAGTGCAGCCAGTCCTCTGGGAATTCAGACTAAGGAACAACCACCTGGGAGTACTGGGTGCAGGTTGTGTCCAGGTGTATATGGCTCTGTTGGTGGTTTCCACCCCTGTGTGTGCAGGCCTCAGTGGGATAAATCAGGACACAGGTTGGGTGTGTCCTGTTTGTTGGGTGATGTTTTTGAAGCATTGCCTTTCTCAGAAAGTCCCAAGGGAGTCTTTAAAAACTGTAGTTACAGGGGCACATGGGGGACTCAGCCAGTAGAGCCTATGAGGCTTGATCTTAGGGTGGTAAATTTAAGTCCCACTTTGAGGGTAGAGTTTACTTTAAAAAAAAATTTTTTTTAAACTAGTTTTGAAGAGAAGCATCAGAAATTCTCCCCCACCCCCTTACTCACACACCACCTTCTGTCTTCTTTGGTAATACTCTTAAACCTGTTTGTTATGGGAGGCCAACTGTAGTAGGATGAACTGATAAAGAGCCAGAGAAGATAATGTCAGACAGAGAGGAATGTGGCCTACTCTGTAGGCTTTGGAATGACTTTTACTCCTTTTAGCAAGCTTGAAACAACCCTTTGCCTACTTCCAAAAGGATATCAGCGCGTATCATGATGTTAATCGGTTTTCCTGAGAATCTGAAAAAAGTTGGTAACATACTCCAGAGAATGATGATTTGACCAAAGAGAACAGATGGATGGATGAATAGGAGGTATGGGCGGTTCAGAAAAGAGCAAGAAAGCAAGTCAGGTAACGAATATCTGAATGGTCAGTGGGCTGACAGTGTTGATGAGCTTTTAAGTTCATGTGTGTGGAACCTGCATATGAACATTTATCTTCCACGTGCTACCACATGCTTTGGTTTTTCTCTCTCATCCAACTACTGTGGTGATTGTTCATTCCATTTGTTTATATATGCTGCTCTTGTTACCTACCTAGAGGTGGAGATTTCCAAGGTTTTAGGTCCCAACTCTTTTTTTTTAAAACTTTATTTATTCATGAGAGACACAGAGAGAAAGACAGAGAGAGAGAGAGAGAGAGAGAGAGAGAGAGAGAGAGAGGCAGAGACATAGCCAGAGGGAGAAGCAGGCTCCATTCGGAGAGCCCGATGTGGGACTTGATCCCAGGACTCCAGGATCACACGCTGAGCCGAAGGCAGATGCTTAACCGCTGAACCACCCAGGCATCCCTAGATTTCCAAGGTTTTAAGTGTTTTTCCCATCACTCTTCAAGGAACATGCCAGTCCCCTATACCCCTGGGCATTGTAAACCACATCAGGGGCTCATCCTCATTCCTCCATCCAGGCCACATATAAAATCTGATTCAGAAAGCTTCTCTTGTTTTCTGGATAGGAAGACAGAGCTGGCTGAAAGGTGTGAGGGGTTGAGATTCATGTTTGTCTTTTGTTTTGTTTTGTTTTTTGGTCTACTCCTATATCTTCCCTAGTACCACGACCAAAATCAAGTAGAGTCTTGATTTCCTTTCCCTAAGTAGGCACTACCTCATTCCCAGGCAGATGTGAGAGGACAGGACTTCAGGCTGGAGCCATCATTAGGTTCTCTACCCCTCTGCCCAGAGTCAGGAGGGAGGAATCACATATGGTGATGGATGGATAGATGGAAGGAAGGATAGATGGACAGAGAAGGCCAAGGAAAGTAGAATCAGGAAGGGGCTAGCTACTCCAAGCAGAGCCCCATTCTTTCCAGTCTTGCCTCTGGTGCTAGGAGAGGCATGACTGACCATCAGGGCCAGAGCAGTGTGGTCACCCTCCCAAGGTGGCTGGGCTACATCCTTTGTGTCATAGTCCAATAAGCATCATGGATTCTCAGCACTGCCGATGCCTAGTGTTCCGAGGCTGCTGTGACCACAGACACCTCTTGGTCCTCTTGGCTTTGGTTTCCCAGCAAGCCAGTTTTTGGTCTATTGGAGGAAAGCGCCCCTGCCCTGGGAGCCTCACAGGCTGTATCAGGAGAGTCATCAGCCCGGGGTAGAGGCAGCTGGATCCCAGGAGTGGCTAACCCACACATCATAGATGCTCTTGTTGAGTGGCACCCCCTGGAAGAGAGCATCTAGATTCCAGAGCCATGCTGAGAGGCATAGGTTTCAAGGGTCACTCCCCAGTAGGCTGGGCTAGTTGAAGGGGTAGGCACAGGAGGGTAGAGTGTGGGTAGTAGTGGAACCAAGGGCATTACCACATTGGGAATGTAGATGAGCAAGTAGGAAGTGAGCAGCTGCCCAAAGGGAGGCCCTGTGATTCCCACTGGACAGTCCCTTAAGGTCTGGGGTCCCCTGCAGAAAGTGGAGGGGCCAGACTCTGTGCTCAGGAGAGAGGGATGAGGGCCTGTTGGTCCCCCCGCAACCAGGAAGTCTCTCCCTCCACTCTTCTAGGCCTGGGGAGGGGACAGGGGAGCCACAGAGGCCTCTCAGAGGGCAGGGGTGCAGTGGGCACCACCTCCTCCCCACTGTGCCCAGAACCAGCTGGAGCTGGGCTGCTCCGGGTGCCCTTTCCCTGGGATCTCATAGCAGAGGCTTTATGCCAAAGCCCTCACTGAGTGGTGGTTGGGAATTAGGCGGCCGTTAGGACCAACTGTGCAGCAGGTGGGGGCCCAGGTCCTTGGCAGAGTCACCCCGCACATCCCTGCTCTGCCAGCACCAGCACAGGGCCATGTTCTGCAGCCACAGCACCTCTGCTGGTTCATCAGGCTCACGATGACCACCCGGAGGTTGCCTTGGCCTGGGGCTTCCCAGGATCTTAGGCACCTCGCAGAAGCATCCATTGGAGGAGAGGTTATAGCAGGTGGAATCCTTCTAGTCCTTCTGGTCATCCCTGAAGAAGAGGATGTGGCCTGGACCTGATGGATGACAGAGCATGATGAAGCTGATGGGCCAGCTTCAGCCTGCGGGAGGGTGTGGCCTAGGTCACAAGGGCCATCCTGGCCAAGTAGGCATAGGGGGGCTTGTTGTGCCACAGATATCTCTTCTTCCTCCTCTTGGGGAGCTGGGAGGACAACTCTGACCTGGGAAGCCTCGGGCATGGGCTGCTGCAGGTCCCCATGCAAGGGAGACGAGCCACGTGGGCGGGGGCCTGGCCCCACGGTGGGCACAAGGCAGTGTGACAGTGTGGTGAGGCACGGCTGGGGGCCTGACATCGAAGGTTCATCGATTTTTATTTTTTTATTTTTTTTAATTAATTTTTATTGGTGTTCAATTTACCAACATACAGAATAACACCCAGTGCTCATCCCGTCAAGTGTACCCCTCAGTGCCCGTCACCCATTCACCCCCACCCTCCACCCTCCTCCCCCTCCACCACCCCTAGTTCATTTCCCAGAGTTAGAAGTCTTTATGTTTTGTCTCCCTTTCTGATATTTCTCACACATTTCTTCTCCCTTCCCTTATATTCCCTTTCGCTATTATTCATATTCCCCAAATGAATGAGAACATACACTGTTTGTCCTTCTCCAGTTACTGTGGCCAAGTTCAAAAAGGGTGTTGCCTGAGTTCTTCTCTGGGATTTTGATGGAATCTTGTCTCACATTTAGATCTTTCATCTATTTTGAGTTTATCTTTGTGTATGGTGCAAGAGAGTGGTCCAGTTTCATTCTTCTGCATGTGGATGTCCAATTTTCCCAGCACCATTTATTGAAGAGACTGTCTTTCTTCTAGTGGATCGTCTTTCCTCCTTTATCGTATATTAGTTGAGCATAAAGTTCAGGGTCCACTTCTGGGTTCTCTGTTCTGTTCCATTGATCTATATGTCTGTTTTTGTGCCAGTACCACACTGTCTTGATGAACACAGCTTTGTAGTACAACCTGAAATCTGGCATTGTGATGCCCCCAGATATGGTTTTCTTTTTTTAAAATTCCCCTGGCTGTTTGGGGTCTTTTCTGATTCCACACAAATCTTAAAATAATTTGTTCTAAGTCTCTGAAGAAAGTCCATGGTATTTTGATAGGGATTGCATTATACGTGTAAATTGCCCTGGGTAACATTGACATTTTCACAATATTAATTCTGTCAATCCATGAGCATGGAATATTTTTCCATCTCTTTGTGTCTTCCTCAATTTCTTTCAGAAGTGTTCTGTAGTTTTTAGGGTATATTTTGAGAACCATTTGAATGGTAAATGGTTCTCCAACCTTTTATTTTCAGGTTGTAGGTGTCCTTCTGTCTAAAATGAGTCTCTTGTAGACAGCAAATAGATGGGTCCTGTTTTTTTATCCAGTCTGAAACTCTGCGCCTTTTGATGGGGTCATTAAGCCCATTCACGTTCAGAGTTACTTGAACTTCTTCTTAAAGGGGAGTTTTAAGAGTCCCCCTTAAAATTTCTTGCAGAGCTGGTTTGGAGGTCACATATTCTTTCAGTTCCTGCCTGTCTTGGAAGCTCTTTATCTCTCCTTCCATTTTGAATGAGAGCCTTGCTGGATAAAGTATTCTTGGTTGCATGTTCTTCTCATTTAGGACCCTGAATATATCCTGCCAGCCCTTTCTGGCCTGCCACGTCTCTGTGGAGAGGTCTGCTGTTACCCTAATATTCCTCCCCATGAAAGTCAGGGACTTCTTGTCTCTTGCTGCTCTAAGGATCTTCTCTTTATCTTTGGAATTTGCAAGCTTCACTATTAGATGTCGAGGTGTTGAACGGTTTTTATTGATTTTAGGGGGGATCTCTCTATTTCCTGGATCTGAATGCCTGTTTCCCTTCCCAGATTGGGAAAGTTTTCAGCTAGGATTTGTTCAAATACATATTCTGGCCCTCTGTCCCTTTCGGCGCCCTCGGGAACCCCAATTAAACGTAGGTTTTTCTTCCTTAGAGTGTCATTTATTTGCCTTAATCTGTCTTCATGGTTCTTTAATTGTTTATCTCTTTTTTCCTCAGTTTCCCTCTTTGCCATTAACTTGTCTTCTATGTCACTCACTCGTTCTTCCACCTCGTTAACCCTCGTCGTTAGGACTTCTAGTTTGGATTGCATCTCATTCAACTGATTTTTAATTTCTGCCTGATTGGATCTAAATTCTGCAGTCATGAAGTCTCGTGAGGCCTTAATGCTTTTTTCTAGAGCCACCAGTAGCTGTAGAATAGTGCTTCTGAATTGGCTTTCTGACATTGAAGTGTAATCCAGATTTTGTAACTCTGTGGGAGAGAGGGCTGTTTCTGATTCTTTCTTTTGAGGTGAGGATTTCCTTCTAGTCATTTTGCTCAGTGCAGAGTGGCCAAAAACAAGTTGTATTGGAACACGGGGGAGTATCACTGGTCCGTCTAGCTGGTCTTCTGGGGGAGGGGCCTGTTGCGCTGATTTTCAGGTGTTAGCACTTGGGGGAGCTGCTCTGCCCCTGCCTGCTGCAGGGCTCAGCGGGGGTTGTTTACCCCGTGGGGCCCCAGGAGGAACAGTCGCAGTTGCTATGGCAACTCTGGAAGCCTGGATTCAGCCTCCGCAGGAACTACGGGGCTCGGGGCTCTCGGTTCTCCGTCCGCAGGGCCTGGAGGCTCCGGGGCGGGGCCACTGATCTGCTCAGCTCGGGGCAGGAGCGTCCTTGCTGTCCTGGGCCCTCCCGGCCTCTGCCTGTCCCGGGGGAGGCCGGATCCTGGGCTGTGTCCCGGCGCCCTGTGCTCCGGGGCCTGCGCTGTTGGATTCGCGCTCCCGCCCTGCAGCCCCCTCCGCGGAGCCGCCGCCCGAGCCCCTCCGAGCTGCTCCGGTCGGCCCCGCCGTGCGCGCTGCAGCCCTTAGGGAGCTCGGCGCACTCTCCCGGGGCGCAGGTGTCTGTTAGTGTCCCCGGGAGCCCGAGGGCATCCCTGTCCTCCTGGGTCCTGCTCCAACTCCCTGCGAGCCCCTTTCCGCCCGCCCGGGAAGGTTGGTGCAGCTCCTGCTCCTCCGGGACGGGGCTCTCCTGTCCTGGGGACACTCGCCCCGGCCTCAGCCCGGCTCCTCCGGGGCCCCTCCCCTTCGGAGGCCTTTTGTTCCTTTATTTCTTTTTCCCCGTCTTCCTACCTTGATAGAAGCGCGGACTCTCCTCACTGTAGCATTCCAGCTGGTCTCTCTTTACATCTCAGGCCGAATTCGTAAATTTTCAGGATGGTTTGAAGGTTATCTAGGTAATTTGGTGGGGACAGGTGATTTGGGGACCCTGCTCTTCCGCCATCTTGCCCCTCCCCCGGTTCATCGATTTTTAAAAAGAACTTCTCTGGTTATAAACTTACAGAGCACTTCTGTGCCGACTTCTCATTGGTTTTTTTTTTTTTTTCAACTTCCTTATATTTTAGATAAAGAAACTGTGGCCAGAGGGTCAAGTGGCTTTCTCAGAACCACATGGTTATTGTGATAGCCATGATATGATGTTCAGGCCCCCTGGCTCCCTATCCAGTGCTCCTTCCTTCTCTTTGCCTGACTGTGGCCCGTCAGTGAGAAATAGCATTGTGACTAAAAGAGTACAGACTCTCAAACCATGCTGCAAGAATTTGAAGCCAAGTTCTTCTATTTACCATTTATGTGACGTTAGGCAGGTTAGTTCATTTCTCGATGCCTTGGTATTTCCATGTGTAAAATGGGGTTCATGGAGGATCAAATGAGTTAATACAGGTAAAACGCTTAGAACAGTGCTTAGCACATAATCAGTACATTATTATTATAACTATTATTATTACTATTATTAATTAGCCAATGAATGAGGATTCATTGATCATTTACCATCTTAGGTTCCTTGGTTCTATAATTTGGGAACCTGTAAAGGTTCTTCTCAAAGCCAGTCATGCCTCCTGAATCTTTCCTTAGGCACGGTTCTGACACACAAGCCCAATGGTGAGAGGCCTCTGAGGCTGTCACTAATAAAATGGTAACTGCTCTTGATTAGGACATTGGCCCAGTATGGGCCCAGATAATGGTCACCACACCCGGATCTTTTCACCTCAGCCTCACCATGTGAATGTCATGGGGACACATTCTAGATCTCAGCTGAATTCAACATACAACTCCCTTCTCTTGCCAAGCCCATCACCCTGTCCCAAAAGGAAAACAGATGAACATTTTGCCTGTCCGGAAATGGATACTTGTTACATTTTGGTAGTTAAAGGAATGGATCTTGCTGGCATTTGGACTGGAAAAGAGCCCTCAACTGTTCTCTGTAATTTGCTGCCTTGTAGCATTTAAGGCAGATTGTCTTATAATTTTCTTCCTTCTTCTCTTATGGTTGGCTTATTTCAGTGAAAAAAAAAACACAACCCCAAAGCCATAAATTTTCCTTTTATGAATTATAGGTAATTCTTTTAAAGATTATTTTAAAGAAAGCATAATAACCACATAGAATGTTCAGAAGAAAAAAGAAAAATCACTATAATCTCACTACCCTAACATATCTTGTTTTCATTTTCTGTGCCTCCTCCCCAAACTTTTGGTCAAACTCGTGTATATTTTAGAATCTCATACAGACAACGTGTATCCTATGTCTTAAACATTTGCAGTTGTTGCTATTGTCTTTGGGATGATCACCGTTAATGACTTAGTTTAGTAGGTATCCCATTGATTGGAAAACTGATCGTTTATTGTTCAAATCTTCCAGATAATTTTTGGTTTTAGTTTTGGTTCTGGTTATTATATCTGAGTAATTTCATGCTTTACTTTTAAAACCTTTTAATTCTGAAATAATTTTAGGTATACTCAAGAGTTGCAGTAACAGTACAGAGAGCCCCATCCGCTCTTTACCTAGCTACCCCAAGTGTGAAAATTTTACGTAAACATAGAATAATTATCAGTCAAAACCAGGAAATTAACATTTGTGCTGTTTGATTGACTAATCTACAGCCCTCATTTGAATTTCATTGGTTTTCCCACTAATGTCCCTTTCCTGTTCCAGGATCCAGTCCAGGATCCCACTTGGTATTTAGTCATGTCTCCTCTAGTCTGGGACAATTCCGCAGCCCTTCTTTGTGACTATTCTTTATCTTTCATGACCATTACTCTTTTGAAGAGTACTGGCCAGTTATCATGGGCAGTGTCCCTCAGTCTGGGTTTGTCTGATGTTTTCTTGTGATTGGATTACAGTTATGCATTTTTGGCATAACCATGGGGATGATGGACCCTTTTGTGGGCATCATATCAAGAAGCCCTTGATATCTCTGACCACTGGTGATGTTAACTTTCATCTCTGATTTTGAAGCTCTCTTAGAATGTGGCTTAAGGAGAGATTCCAGAAATGGGATTCCTTGCTCAGAGGATGTCATCCTAGCTTCCTCTCTTGGCTAGTTTTGGTGGCAAGCAGAATGAGGGAACAATTAAGACCTGTGAAATGCTGCCAGCCTAAAAATAGCTTTAGGGCCCAGGGTAGGGAGATCTTTGCAAAAGCTAGAAAAAATATTCTGTATAAATAAAACATCTAAGGTAGAGCCTTTGTTAGTGAACTTTGGCTTAATTCTGTAGGTTGACCTCTATCTTATCGCTAGATGAATTTTCAGTTTATGAATTACAGAAAACTCTTTTAAAGATTAAAGAAAATATAATAACAACAGTATACATGGCTATATTAATATAGTCCAGTCTGATTACAAACAGCACTAATGATCTTTCATATTATCCAGTAGGTGTCAGGCTGATTTCATTGTTGAGCTCCGTTCGTGGGTGTAACATCCTCATTGTTTGTTATTTCTTTAGCATAGCCATCTGCTTGTATGTTTGACGGGTCAGGAAGTGTGTTGGCCAAGTTCCTTTCTATGTGACCGGACTGGCTTTGCCCTATAGGGTAGGAACTGACTGGCATTGGTGGCCATACAGGCTTCAAAATTATCAACCTCTCAAGAAAGATATAGATTGACAAAAATAAGCTCTTAAGTGCAGGTTGGTAGAGTGGAGAGACCTTAGAAACAGGTTCTCTGCTCTGCTTTCTCCTTCCATTCATCCCAACTCAGCCTCTTCAGGAAGTGGCTGTCTTATCCAGCTGGGCATCAGCTAAGTGGCCAGGGGAAGCTGTTGGGTTCCTCAGGGCTGGAGCCAAAAGTGAGGCACCAGGATCCAGCTGGACTTCCAAATCAGAAGATCCCATACTGGGGAACCAAAAGGTTTTAGGTGGGATTAGGCCGACGCCACAAAGGCCTGAGCAGAAGTGGGTGGACTAGGGAGAAAGAGGCCCTAATGGAAGGTCCAAGTGGCTTAGGTGAATGACAGGCTCCATATTATTTGTGGCCCACTGTTGTGGGCTGGTCTTGGAATGGGACACAAGTGGGTCTAGCTGGCTCAAAGGACCAGAGATGAAGCCTAGGACAACTTTTGCAAGAGTTGTGACCTGATGAAAACCTCCCACCTGTTGGCTGTGCCTGGTTGGATGTGGGCCTGAGACTCTCTCTCTCCCCAGGTAAACAAAGCCCTGAAGCAAAAGTCAGACATCGAGCACTACCGGAACAAGCTGCGCCTCAAAGCGAAGAGGAAGGGATATTACGACTTCCCCCCGGTGGAGACAAGCAAGGCTCAGACCGAAAGAAAAAAGATGTACGAGAAAACCCAAAAGGAAATCGAGCACGTTTTGGATCCAGATCCAGAACTGTGTGCCCCCTTCGCTGAGTCTAAAAACAGGTGCAGTGTCTAATGGTCCCTGTATATTAGTGGGATGAGGGTAGAGGGTGCGTTGGGTAACATATCAGCAGAGGGTGCCGATCTGGACCATGCTGGTCTGTGCAAGCTGGTGCTCCATAATGAATTTAGAAAAGAATAAAATTGAAGCTACTTAAAAAAAAATACTTGGGCAAACAACCATAATTGTCCTTTAGCTCAATAAGATTTCCAAGCCAGTAGCTGGGTCAGAGCTGGGTGAAGATAGAATAATATCACCTACCTGGTAATGCAATTTCCAGATCAAGGGACATTGGATTTTTCAATTAATTGAATAAGAAATGCAAATTTCATGCCTCACCTTTTCATTCAGCTTCAATAAGTACTTACCACCCAACTCCTTAGAGCTCTGTGCTGGGCTCATCTCTTGTATCTATAGATTTGTTCATTTATTTGACATTAATCATCACCTGCTATGGATTAGGCACCATGCAAGTTGTTGAATACTCTCATGGTCATGAGAGTCTCTCATGGTCTCTGCTTTTTCTTATTTATTCATTCATTCATTCATTCCACTCATTCAGCATTTTATGGTAGGCAAGACAGCCCAGTCACTGCTCTCATGGGACTTAAGGTCTGATGAGAAAAAAGATAATTACCCCGGAAGTTCGTTACTCACAAGTGCTATGGGTGTTTGCGATGTGATGGTCTATAAGGGGGACCTAGCTTCAGAGGGAGGGTCACAGGCCCAGGGGTTGGAATTGGCATTATCCCCAAGCGTTTTCGTTTTTCTTTTCTTTCAAGATATATTTATGTATTTGAGAGAAAGAGAGTGAGGAGGGGGAGGGGCACAGTGAGAGAGAGAATCTCAAGCAGTCTCCCCACTGAGCGCAGAGCCTGATGTGGTTCTCCACATAGGGCTTCATCCAAAATCCTGAGATCATGATCTGAGCCTAAATTCAGAGACACTTAACCAACTGGGGGCCCAGGCACCCTGTCATTATTCCAAGCTTTGTTGCTAACTAAGCAGAGAGTGACCTCACCCACTGGGTAAAGAGAAAGAGGCTAACAAAACTAAACATGGCCATCTTTCTGCTTTTCCACCCCATCTTCTAAAGCACATCCTTGGAAACATTTTCATGCTTTGAGATCATCCCTTTCAAGTATACATTCTCCTTGGCAACATGCCCATTGGCTTTGGGCCTGCTGGCTCTCCAATATACCCCATACATCCTATGGGGATGCACCCTCCACAAACAAGGTGAGATAGGACAGCGCCTGGCCTGAGCAGGTATTTTTTAAAAGCAAAATGATTATGTGACAGGCTTGGATGGAAGCCACAAAATCAAAATGGGAGGTGGGGCTTAAATTTATTAACGGAATTGACATAGTTTTGTTTTGTTTTTTTCAAAAAAGATCTCATTTATTAGAGAGAGAGAGCATGACCAGGGGGGAGAGGGAGAAGGAGGCTCCCTGGTCAGCAGGGGCATGATCCCAGGACTCTGGGACTATGACCTGAGCCGAAGGCTGACATCTGACTGAGCCACCCAGGTGCCCCAACATAGTTTATTTTTAATAAAGAGGGACTTCTAAGCCAGTGCTTCATTTACTATGCTTCTAAAGAGACTTGATGGGTATAAGCTAGTGGTCCAAAAATCAACACTTTGACAGGGGTCATAATACATGTGTCACCATGTTGGTAACTGTAGAACAAAGAGAAAGGTATGGATTTTATAGGAAGACTGGTGGCTTCTTTAGCTTAAAAGCTACACTTTTAGCTGCACGCCACACTTGGGGACATTATAGTTTAGCAGTCTCTTATAGACTGGGGCAGGGAGTAGTTTCCTGTTGCCACTTGGAAAATGAATCAAAGATCATGTGCAAATGAGAGGAACTTAGCTTGGAAAGTTCCTTGGGAAATACATACAAAATTTTGGTTGAAACTTTTCATAAAGAGCATGGACACAATTTTTCCTCCCATGGAGATGCATCCCGACTGCCCAGCAAAAGTTCAGGCAGGATCCTCACGGCCCTTCGCCAGCCTGCCCATGCTCTGAGTGTGTTCTCCATAAATGTCTGTGGAAGAAATGATTGAATGACTCTAAACATAATGTTAAAATTTTTTCAGTCAATGAAGGGGAAAATACAGAAGACCACAAGCTGGGTGAGGTGGGTGTAGGAATGGAGATGAGATCAGCAAGGTGTGAGGATGGGAAGGGAAGGGTTCACAAAGAGGATGCCCCGGTAAGCTAGCTCTGAGGTGTCATTCTTGTCACGCTCTGCTGTTGAGTCCAGGGGCTGCTGCCGGGTGTGGGGTATCTGTTGTCACGGATTGGGGTTACCTATTGACTGCCACTCACAGCTCAGCTCTGCAGAGCTTCTGCTCTCAGTGACCTCGCCGTGGCAAGGCACACGTGGGGGGACCCGTCCTCCCGTCCAGGGGTGGCATCAATAACCAGGGCTTTACCCTGAGACCTAAATGCAATCGCATCAAAGACAACATTTAGGTCCAAATGTTGACTCATCCCTGCATCTTTTAAAAGAGTCTTCACGGCTCTTTCTTTAAAGTCAGAAGAACACCCCCATTTTCATGTTATCTGCTCTTACCTAGAGGCACGCAGAAGACGTGATGTAACCGAGGAAAATGCTGGCAGAGTGTCCCCCCATAGATTCTCTTGGCTCCCCCTGCCCCCGTGCAGCCCGCATGCAGCGGCATCCTACTTCCTGGGAGCATCCGTGACTCCGATTCGGGGGCCTTGTCTCCGCAGCCCCCACCAGAAGCGCCGCACCGTTTCTGTGCCTGGAGCAGCTTCGGTCAATGACAGATGGGAGCTGATGGGTAAACACCCTGGCAGGAGAGCTCTGAGGTGCAAGCTACACTCGTGATAACCACGTTTGCTGGCTTCTGTGTTTGATGCTTTGACATCTGGGGGTCTGGCCAACTCTTTTTTTTTTTTTTAAAGATTTTATTTATTTATTCATGACAGACAGAGAGAGGCAGAGACACAGGCAGAGGGAGAAGCAGGCTCCATGCAGGGAGCCCGATGTGGGACTCAATCCTGGGTCTCCAAGATCACACCCTGGGCCGAAGAAAGGCACCCAACCACCTCCTTCACATAGGGCTCTCCCACTCTGGGCTCCAGTCCTCCAAACCCCCCCAACCCCCAAACCCCCGAAGCTTGGCTCCCACACCACTAGGAACAGCCCCTCTGCCCCCAGAGGCTGCTGAAATGGTTCCAGCAATCCAATCCAAAGCCTGTTTACCCTGCCTTGCCTGTTCCTTCCCCAAGAAACCACAAGAAAGGTCCTTCCTTGCCCACATTTTCCCCTCAGTCCTACTGTCTAGTGACTGACCCTGGTGCTTCCCCACGTGGCGCCCGGTGGCATGCCCCTTCCTCTTGGCATTGTGAGTGCAACAAGCTGTCTTTTCAATGGCAGCCGCCTCCTGATCCATTGGGCTAGGACATACCTAAATAAAGTAAAACCTACATTTTACCGCAACTATTCTCCATCTTTCTCCAGTAACTTTGAGCTCCCCGTTGCCCAAAATACCAATCTGCTCTATCTCATACCCTCTATTGGCCTCCTTCCCTTTCTGTCTCATTTTTCCACTTCCCAAACTTTGTGCTTCCTGGAACCCTTTCCCAGGTAAACCACTTGTCAAATCATCATCGAGCCTGCTTCCTGGGGATCCCAACCTAAGACAATAATAAAGACAGAGTTGCTCTCACAGAAGCAGAGCTGCTCCTCCTCCTTAGCGGCTACATTCCATTTTTATGGAACCCTGAGTTTCCTTAGAATGCAGTTTGGAAACTACTTTCTTAAATTATTGTGAGATTTTTAAAAAAACCCTAAAAAGTGCAAATAAAATTTATTGCTATCTACCCAGGAATAGTTTCAGAGGTAAAGATGCTTTTCAAGTTTGCAGGTTTCAAAATATATTAACTTTTAAAGAATACAGCAAAATGCCCACAAGAAAGAAATATACCTAGTGGAACTCTATTTGATTAAAATAAGTAATTCCTCTACCCAAGAGCCTAATTTATTTCTAAGTAGATGCTTACCCACCAGGCCATGCATGGGTGGTCTGGTCAATTAAGATCCACGTTAAATAGCAGCCTTTAAGCTGGGTGTCATAATGGAACATTGTCTTTGATGTAAAAGACTGGAGTGCACCCCAAAGTCTAGGTTCTCACCCAGGTTCTTGGTTCTTGAAAGGGCTCACACAATCTTGCTATTGTGTTTCTAATACTTCCAAAATAGCCTGCTTAAATGTCAATTGCTAATCCTAGTGTTTATTCCCCCAACCATCCTTATTAGTAAATCTTTTCTAAATGAGTTAATTGGCAGTCTCAGGACAGTTGTAAAGTCAGCTTTTTCAAAAAGTGATTTGTAATTAGGTCAAGGAGGAGAATTCTTTGGGGTCTGCCTTAAAGTGTGAATCACTCTATTTCATAAGGTTGTGCTCCATTCCTAAAGGAAGCTTCTAATTACAAATAACCATAGGGCACAGTTTATAATATTAGGTTTAAGCTCCTATATTAGGATTCTTTGGGTTGCAAGTGGCAATCCAGAACAAACTGGTTAAATAGAAAGAGAATTTGTCATTGAATGCAAAAGGTCGAGGCTTCAGATATGACTAGATCCAAAGGTTCATACAATGTCTTGTCCTCTCATCACTCTTTGCTGGTTCCTGTTCAAGCTCTGACCTCATAGTGGCAAACTGGTTGCCAGCAACTCCTGGCCTATATCCTATCTTCTCAGAAACTTCAATGTCAAGAGAATGCCTCTTTCCTGGTTGCTCTAGCCAAAGCCCTGAGACTCAGTCTCATTGGACCAACTCATGTGCCTGTCCTCTGACCAGTCGTTGTGGCCATGGGGCTCTGATGCATGATTCTGCAAGCCAACTCCTTCAGGAAGGGTAGCCACCCAAGAATATCACAGTGCCCCTCCCAAATGAAGGTTATCATGGGTTTCAGGCAAGTGGAGATCGCAGAGGTGGTCTAAATAGGTGTGAGCTCCTCATGGTGAAGGGGTGGGTCTAATAGTGTTTATTTTACTGCCCAGGCTAATTGCAAGGGTAGTGTTTTGTCTTGGGAGTTCTAATGTCTGTTCTAAACTAACAGTGTGTGACGGTCATGCTAAAACTAACTGGGTGTGTGATCATGAAAAGGTGTGTCTATGTCTACCTGCCAGGATTCTGGCTTCCTGCGTAGTCCCTGGGAATAAATAATGCAACCTTTTCACCTTCAACCCATGAATGGATGGAATCTTAGAATGGAGGCATAAAATAGTTGGTGTCTGGGGAATTCTCTGAAGATAGATGCTCTGAAATGCCAGTTATTCACGAAGAGAAATGTACAGTTGGACATGGTACTGCAGTATCATGTGAAACCACCTATCCCCAAGGGGGCCTTACTCCCCACTTGTAAGAGTTGCCTCGTGTGGAAAAAGAAAGCACAGCTACAACCCTCACCATATTTCTGTTTGTTTCTTCTTCCTCATAAAGAGTCCTCAAAAGGCAAGTGTGAACAGTGGTGACAAATGTATGTATTCCCTAAGGGAGCTGAATAGAGCCTCTCAACATGCTGACTCCCTGGCTTGGAATGTTCTGTGCAGGATTAGCATGTGACAGGCTCTCTTTGGGTCTCAACTAAACTGTCCTCTCTCTAGAGAGGCCTTCCCTAACTGTCCTATCTAAAGTTGTCCCCTCTTTTAGCCATCTTCTATCACATCTTATTTTTCTTACTAGCACTCATCATCCTCTGAAATAACCATGTGAATTGTTTATCTCCCTCATTAGAATGGAAGCTCCAGGGGAGCAGGACCATGTCTCTCTTGTTCATTGTGAATCCTTATCATCTTCCACAGTGCCTGGCACATGGTAGATACTCAGTAAATATTGGATAGATGGATGGATGGACGGTTGGGTGGATGGGTGGATATGCTCCAAACTGCCTCTTGGTTTATGGCTCCTTAGCCCAGAAAGAAATCTGGGGAAGGTAGAAAAGAAAATCTGTCAATATTCAAGTATTAAGTGGCCCATTAGCCGCAGGGTTTATTAACTCAGTCATAGAACCCTGCGTGTGAAATCAGAAAGATTAAAAGGAGCAGCAGGCTCCTGAGTCAAGGGTCAACCAGAGCAAGTCTGTTCTTCTAGCATTATCTGTCCTTGAGGTCAAGGGAGAGAGAGCCCCTGGCCTTGCCAGCAACAGAATTTCAGATGAAGCTGTAGCGTTGCAATTGGTTATCCTTACCTGGTTTCCATAAGAAGAGGATTTACAATTAAGCCAAATGGTTACATCATCTGGGAAAACAAAAAACAAAAACAAACTTTGATTCCACTATTCCTATGGCCTCTGATGGCCAGAGAACAAATAGCATGAATCCTGAGATCTGCAAGGCAAATCCAAATCCTTCATTGGTTGCCTGTAGTTTGGATCAGTGGAGAATTCCATCTGTCAGGGCATTTGCTGCATCATAACAGTTGTTGAATTTTCTTCAGGCAACAGATGAAGAACTCTGTCTACCGAAGCCGGCAGTCTCTCAACAGCCCGAGTCCGGGGGAAACAGAGATGGACCTTCTGGTAACCCGAGAGCGACCCCGGCGTGGAATCCGTAACAGCGGATATGACGTAAGTCTCTGCTTTGCTTTCCCCTGAAAACCAAGGAGATAGAGCGTCCCATAATGTCTTGCTTTGCTCTATATTTGTGGAATTTAAAAGTGCACCCAAATGTTTTCTATTTTATTATTCCTTGTTACCAGTTTTGCAAAGGAAGACTACTTGGAATGTCTCAGAGTAGCAAATTATTGCTAAGAGGATTTTGATCTCTAAATCCAGCCATTTGATGAATAGTACATTATTGATCTTAAGTCAACAGTGATTCTAAATGTCCTTAATTTTTTCCCCTCTGTCCTTAAAACTCAGTAGGAACCACGACTGTGGGTAAGAATTCATTTGAACACAGGCTTCTTTTCATCCATAGCAGTTTTGAGGAGTTGGATTTGTTCCTGATTTCATAACTCCTCAATATGCCATGGAAACAATCAGATGTCCAACAGAGCGATTTGGTGATTTCATATGATGAAGCCCAGGTTTATATGCAGTCATGTCTCCAAACCGCAAAAATTGTTCTAATCGCATCGAATTTCCTCAGATGAGGAGCTATAGTGGGGTGTCTTGTATCCAATGGCTCACATCCTGCTAATGTAGTTGCACCCATGAGCTCACATCAACGCTGCTCTGAGGAGGTGCTCAGTAATGCATCACCCTGCCCCAGAACTTCACATGCCCTTAAATCTACTCTTAGGTTTTATGAAACAGGTTTTTTTCCCATTCTCCCAAAACATTTCTCTAATTACGAATAAAAGTTTTTTGTATCAAAAGTTATGATTCAAAAATGTCTGGATAAAGTGTTGTTATAATCTGTGAGGTTGTAATTTGAAAATGACTCTTGATTTCGTAAATATATTCTGCTAATTTGAAGGCAAGAAGGTCCCCCCACCCCCACCCCAGGATTGGTCATTGTTTGCCACAAAAGCTTAAAGTGGGATTTTAATGGAACCTTAAAAAACAGAGATATTGTACCTAATTTGAACTTCTAGTTTACCTGAGATTAAGACTTGATGTTTGTGTTGATGGTGATAACCTTCTCTTTTATTTGTTTTCCTTTTTCATATAAAACCAATTGATAGTTTCATAAAATGCTAGATACTTTGGGCAAATTTCTTTTCCCCTCCAGGTGAAATTACTCAACGTTAATATTTCTCCTCATAAAAATATTTTTTATACTAAACCCGGTCACTAATTTGATAATCAGCCTGTGGTTAAAAATCAGGTATTTGAGTTCTCCAGTTAATCTATCCCTGCCAACAGTGAATATTTTTCCTTCAAGCCGATAGTTTGGGGGACTTATTTTGCTCAGACATACCCAAGGTTTATGATAGGATTCTTTTTTCTTTTTTTCAGTATGATAGGATTCTTAATGTATTTCGAGATTGGAATTAATAGGTCTCTTGTGAGATTCTAGGCACAGACCTTTTTACAGTTTGAGGAAATAGGACAGTTTCCCTATTAGTCTTGAAAAGGGGGAATCCGTGCAGGTTTTTTTTTTTCGTGCAGGTTTTTTTTTTTTTTTTTAATTTTTTTGTTTATTTATGATAGTCACACACAGAGAGAGAGAGAGGCAGAGACATAGGCAGAGGGAGAAGCAGGCTCCATGCACCGGGAGCCCGACGTGGGATTCGATCCCGGGTCTCCAGGATCGCGCCCTGGGCCAAAGGCAGGCGCCAAACTGCTGCGCCACCCAGGGATCCCTCGTGCAGGTTTTTTTAACCACTATGCCATGATTTGTAGTACTGACTTAATACTTTTAGAGTGCCGTGTTAGTACGTTACTTACGGCGACAGAAGGAGAAGGATGATTTTTAAAAGGTTGCTCACCCCTCACAAACATGTATGAATATTCCAATTATAGATTGCTTCAAGGGAAGCCCACTTCATTCTAATAGGTTTTTCTTAAATATACATGTCCTGAGAATTGCATGTGGTCTCTGAAACATAAGCAAAGATAAGTTTCTCTAAGCCAAAGTGATCATCTAGGGACCAGTTTTACGAGTTTAGACTGTCGTGTTCCTGCTTCTCCTCTTGTGATCACATGAAAAATAGCTATCATTTACTGACTGTGCATGATAGACCAGCCTCTATTCCAGTCTTTTTATTTGAATTATCTAATTGAATTTTCATAGGCAATCAGTCAGGGAAACACCCTCCTCACACCCCTTGTACAGGTGGGGAAACCAGGGCACAGAGCGGTTATACAGTTTGTCTACCCAACTCCAGAACCTATCCTCTCAACCACCATGCAGTAGGGCTTCCATATAAATTCATCACACTGGGGATCCCTGGGTGGCGCAGCGGTTTGGCCCAGGGCGTGATCCTGGAGACCCGGGATCGAGTCCCGCATCGGCCTCCCTGCATGGAGCCTGCTTCTCCCTCTCCCTCTCCCGTGTCTCTGCCTCTCTCTCTCTCTCTCTCTCTCTGTGACTATAATAAATAAATAAATAAATAAATAAATAAATAAATAAATAAATATTAAAAAAAATTCATCACACTGTATCACATCATCATATATCCTAGACTTCTGCTCTCACAGAGAAGCTGGATGTCAGGTCTCACAGGACTTCTTGCACGGATAACTCACACAAGCAAAAAAAATGGACCCGCCGATAAAGGAGGAAAGGAAGAGAGTCATAGCTTTAAGCAATGCATTCATTTTCCAAACTCTTGATTTTCTAAAAACGCCAGGGCCCTCCTGACAAAAGAATCCCATCAGCCCAGCAGTGAGCAGGTCATTCGGTTGGAAGCATATCATTCCTCCTACTGCGTCTGGGGAGCTGAAAGCCAGGCCCAGATTTCCCGTCATTTCTGCCAGATTAGGGAACACCATGGGGATCTGCTCCTTGACCTGGTAGAAACAGAAGCACTGGGAGATTGATTCAATTTCTTCAAAGCTGACCGTGTTAGAATCCCTACAGGAAAGGCTGTATGTAGAAGTAAAGGAGTAAATAAAGAAGCAAACCAACACAAAGCAGAGGCAAATCTTAGCTCCAGGACTGAGGGCAGCCTGGAATTGTTTGAAAATGTTCCCATAGAGCAGGATGTGTTGGGACCTGCCCAAGAGAGACTCTTGGCTCCAAGGGATTTGAGAATCACTGTGTTTTGCAGGAACAGTTCTTCTTCTTTTCTTCTTCTTCTTTCTTCCTTCTTCTTCTTCTTCATTTATTCATGAGAGAGAAAGAGGGAGGAAGAGACAGAGGGAGAAGCAGGCTCCCCCCATGGAGCTGGGAGCCCGATGTGGGACTTGATCTCAGGACCCTGGGATCATGAGCTGAAGGCGGATGCTTACCAACTGAGCCACCCAGGCACCCCTGCAGCAACAGTTCTTAACCTCTTGGGCCGTCTGACAGCTAAGGGAGGCAACACACTCCTAGCAGTTCCTGAGGCTCACCTGGCGAGTAATTTTCCAGAAGGTGGCACCCCCTTTGAGATGAAGGCGCGATTTTAGAAAGATGTCCCAAACCAATCCCTGCTAAAAGGCCACGCCGTATTTTTAAGCTAACTTTGGCCTTGAAATGAATTCCTCCCAGTGCACAAAGCAGGTTTCCCCCTATCAGCCAAGTCAGTAATCCCTTTATGTGGTTGAGGAATCAACCTTTGCTTCCAAAGGACAAGGAATAATCAAATAACTCCCCAGAAATAAAAAAGCATCTCTTCAATCTCAATTTGTGTGTGGAGTTTAAAAATGTGACAGGAATGGGGTCAGCTAAGTGCCTTGGCTGTTAGGGAGACTCTGAAATGGAAGGTTTGAATTGTAACTTTGAAAATGAATACTCCCCAGGGCATGGGAGTGGCTCAGTTGGTTAAGGGGCTGCCGTCTGCTCAGGTCATGATCTCGGGGTCCTGGGTTCGAGTTCCGCATCTTGCTCTCTGCTCAGTGGGGAGCCTGCTTTTCCCTCTCCCTCTGCCCCTCCCCATGCATGTGCTTCTGTGCTCTCTCTTTCTCTCTCTCTCTCTCTGTGTCAAATAAATAAAATCTTTAAAAAAAAAAAAAAAGAAAAAGAAAATGAATGCTCCCCTCTCAGAAGTAGAGATCTTTACAGGCTCCTTGCTTTAGGTTTCTCTCCAGCACCTTGTCAAAGCTCCACACCCCAGGGGTGCTCACCAAGCCTTCTCAGGGAAACCCTGAAATGTGGCCAGAGTGTCTGAAAATGTTAAGGAGGATGATTGATCCCTCGATGCCTCTCAGAAGAGGGGATGTTGGGACGCCTGGGTGACTCAGTGGTTGAGCATCTGCCTTCGGCTCAGGTCGTGATCCCGGGGTCCTGGGATCGAGTCCCACATCAGGCTCCCTGCGGGGAGCCTGCTTCTCCCTCTGCCTGTGTCTCTGCCCCTCTCTCTGTGTCTCTCATGAATGAATAAGTTATATTAAAAAAAGAAGAAGAAGAAGAAGAGAGGATGTTGAAGGTTCCACTGGAGTGACCACAATCACTGGCCATTCCAGAGACGTTCTTCAGGGAAATGATTGGAAATGTTAGTGAAAAACCAGCTGATTTTGCAATTGAGAAGTAGACCTACAAAAAGGGGGGACTGTGTCAGGCAGGGTCCGCTGCAGAAACCAGAAGACCTCGAGCTCTTTGAACAGACCAAACGTGCCCACGAGGAGTTAGGTGCTCACCAGGGCATCGGAGGGGGAGACCAACCCGGGGCTGGGGGAGCTGCCTCCACCCCCCATCCCCCAGCAGGACAGGACAGCAGGGGAGGTGGGGGCTCCCTGGGCACTACCAGGGACTCTGCACACCAGGCCTCCCGCTGACAGAAGCCGGGTCTCGGGCACCGCCACCGCCTCCCAGGGGACCATGAGTCAGTGATGGCCCATCAGCCTCACTGTCCCCTCCACAGATAAAAGAGAGAGGAGAGGAGAATTCCCAGCAGAGCAGAGCAGTACTGGGAAGCGGTGGGGAGAGCTAGAAGAGGCACGTGTGGCAGAGGGGAAGACGGAAGCGTCGCTCAGAGCTCGGTCCCCACGGAAAGTATTGGGCTGCCCTAACACTGCATGATGTTCCCAGTTAGGGT